CGGCGTGACAATCAAATAGATGTTTTCATTCTTAGAGCTGGAATTCAGCCAATGTAATTGAAAATTTCAGATTTTTTTTAATGCGATTGATGTTTTTTTTTTGGTGTATGTAGGCAGTCATTAGTGATCGGGGTAAGACCTTGAACCGACCGCTGCACTTTGAGAAACCAGTTGAATCGCAGACGACTGAAAACGGGATTCAAACCCAGGAACCCAGTTAATGCTGGCTCTGTCTCCAACCACATATTATGGTGACATGTTTAATTGGCTCGCAAAGATTTCACTCACGTCGCGGTTCGATGATTTGTAATCGAGATTAAATTCAGCCATCAATCAGTGGTAATTTGTCATCCTTACTCTCCGTCGGGTTTCTTCTGTCTTGTTTGCTTTGTCTCGTTCGTTCAATTCATCATCTTTATCAGCCGTGATCAATCCACTGCTGTATGGATGCTGGCTCCAAGTTTTGGCCATCAATTGCATGCCCGTGATACAACAATCCATAGAGCTCTTGCACAAGATCAGATTTCATCGCTCCATTAGCCTAAAGATAATATGAGCACATACCTTACATGCATCATAAATAATCAATGCACACATGCACAGTTTAATGCAATTATGCCCACTGTATGAATTGATTCTAAGTGCGAGAGTCGATGAATTGTAACGTACCCAATTTTTGTTTATTGATTGTTTTAAACGTTTGGATTACAACATTATGTACATACCAAAAACAACAAATGTCTGTGCTTGGGTATTTGCCAAATAACACTGCACACGTGCCACATATTTGAACTCTGCGCACGTCCATATCAGTGTATGTGTCGGTGCGTGCTGTGTACGTGTACGGGGAGTGGTAGTGCAGTGATTAGCGCAATGCGCTACGAACCTGGCGACCCCTCTGTTCGATTTTCGCTCGCAGCCCACATCAGTCAGCAGATATCCGTACGAACCACTCCCGGGCTCTCCCCTGGGTCAACGTAGCCCTGTATTCGTACCTGGCGTGTTGTGTAAACCATCAACACCGCAGGGGCAAACTGCAGGGACAAACGTAGTCGGACGTGGTGGTAGTGGTGGTGACACCAGAAAATTTGAAAAAAGTGGCGGTTATTTTTAACGTTAGCACCACGGAGAGCGATTTGTGTTGCAGTCGAAACGTCGTGAGAATTGTATTGTTTTATATTTGTATCATTTTATTGTTTCCCTTCTACGTGACTTTACCGAAAGAACCAAGAATATGAATCCCTGCAGTCGCGAAAGCTTTAAATCAAAAAGTAATAATAACGTTCAGTCCTTTGTGAAGTCACTGCTGAATGAAGGCCTCTCGACGGAGTGTTGGTCACGGGGGTTGTTTGACCATACTTCGCCACCCTGGTAAGCGTGTGTCGGTTAAGTGGGGGAGCCCAGGTCCGGTTAAGATATCGCTCGCAAACCGATGTTGGCCCCGCAGTGAAGCGGGTGGCGCAGTGGCTCGCAGTTGCACAAGCCCCCGCGCTGCGGTTGCACTGCAGCTGTGATTTGGTTAAACGTTGAGGACGCAAGTTAAAGCATAGGTAGATTGGAATGTCTAAATAATATTTAGTATCATGTTTGTACGAGAGAGATGGCCAAATTGAAGGCAGATTTAGAAAGAAAAAAATTAAGCACGTACGATGGAGAAGAGACAGGGTTTGTTCGTGCGGGTAGATGAGAGCGTGGCAGAGCTTTAGACCGTAAGAGCAGCGTAGCAAAATAGCAACCTCCCACACTGAGACCGACGGAAGGCTGAGAGAGGGCAAACGCCAATTGTGGGCTGCGCGGGTCACGTTTGTGCCACGCGCGAAATCCGGAAGCTTGACAGATTCCGCCGTCTTCTCACATTCCGCCCGTGCGATTTCACTTAAACGTAACCGCACCAATTTACAGTAACCCATCGCCCGTAAAAGATTGACAGGTCGCCAGCGAGCACGCGCAGCGGCACCGAGAGATTGCGCCGTGGAATGCGACGACTCAATAAACACGCGCGTCGGGACGACCGTGGCCATTAACCCAAATATGAGAAGGCGTAAATATTTATCAAAAAATCCATAACGCCAAAGCCACGATGGTCGCATTTACGCGCGGCGACGTCACGGCGGTGAGTGATGCGCCGCTCGCGCGCCCGGGACTCTTTGGGTTTTTAATGCGCTCGTGGTAAAACGCGAAGCCCGCATGACAACACGCGTGCGCTTCATTCAGACGTAGCGTCGTAGATGAGCGTGGAGAAAAAAAATAATCCGAAGTTTTTGGTCCTTTTATCACGTGGGGCGGGGGGGGGTTGGTTACCCGTCCCCTCCCAAAGTTCGCGCAATCTGTGCAGACTCTCGGGACGGCGGCACGCGGCTCGCGAGCTGCGTTGGTTTTAAAACCGACGCGGTGGAGTGGGCACGCTGATGTCGATGTGCCGTGTACCCAGCTACTCGTTGTCGGGTGAGTCATCTGAGGAGACACCTCCGATTAGCACGGTTGGCTACGTACGGTGCGATGAAAGTTCTTACGTACAAAACTGAACTCATTCGTCAATAGCACTGTCTTAAAATAACAAAAAATAGGCGACGTTACAGGCAATGGCCCTTCTTCAAAGCACATATAAAGAAGGGCTATTGCCCAAAATGTCACATATTAAGTACTTGTCATTTTTATTTTTTTCTTTGAAGGCAGGGGCATTGACAAATATGTCGAGTTGTTTTGTTGGTCGTGCGTGAGCACCTCTGCCAACGCAGCAGCAGAGCCGAATAATGTTTTTAGCCTAGGAGGTACCTGGCTATGGTAACACCGTGGGCGAGCCATTATGACAACTTTACGGGGAAACGCGCGGGAAACTAACGTGCACAGGTGTGTGTGTGTGCGTGTGCGTAACGTGGACCCCCCTAATGGAGCATCTTCACCGGTTAGAAATATTTAGGCTCTCCTGCCTACGATCCATCCTGGGTTTAATCAGGCTGGATTGTGTGAGAAGCTCACAAATCATTGAAAGATCTGGGCAAAGTCCCATCGGAGAGCTCCTCCGGCAGGCAAGGCTCCGTTGGCTGGGTCATGTGGCCCGCATGCCCAGCCACCGCATGCCTAAACAGCTTTTGTTCGGCCGGATCGAGGGGGCTAAACGGGCGCAGCACGGGCTAGAGAAGAGATAGAGTGATGTGGTACAGGAGGACGTGGAGCTGAGTGGACTTGCCGATGGCTGGTACCAGCGGTGTCAAGATCGGCCTCTGTGGAGGAGGCTCGTGAAGGGCGCTACTGGGCAGTTGAAGGCTTGTCGCCCTCCCACAACAACGGAGGGCGGAGGAGCAACGCTCACAACAACGAGCAGAGCGCCGGGTGGCTAAAGCACAGCAAGTTGGCACAGTAGGGGGCACAGGTGGTGCATCAGCCAGTCATCTCAGTCATCTCAGTCAGTCGACCCGTGGCACCTGGGTCTGCCCCGTAACCTCCTGCCAGCGGGCGTTCGACACTTCACGTGGCCTCAAGGTGCACATGGCCTGGCAAAAGCGTCGCGGTGACGTCACAGCCACTTAGTGGCGAATGGCGGTTGTTGTTGTTGCATGTGGGGAGCGGAAGTGTAGCGGTTAGCGCGCTGCGCTACGAACCCTGGCCTCCTTTGTCTCCCACCGGGGAGACAAAAGCGGTCGGGCGTGGTGCTGGCCACTCACCTCCTCGTGTGCCGTGCCGGCCTTCATAGGTGCTCGCTAACAGCACTTGCCCCGACAGTCTTTTAAGGCTATACGGGGGATCTTTGTCTTTGTCTCGAGCGATTCCTTGAGGAATACGTAAACACGTTTAATGCATTCTCCGTGAATCTTATAAATAATAACAACCTGAGAGGTGCGTTTAATTCCGAATGGATTTTAATATCTCGGGATGTCTCCGTGGACGTTTGTGTAAAAAAAAAAATTCCTTTATTTGTATACTCGGCATTTGCAATGAAATGTTGGACGCACTTGCCCTTGCAAGTGCTCGGCATGTACATCGTTGCCGGGCGGCTTTCACCGTCAAATTAAATTTTTGGGGATTGTCTTTCACAGCGAACTCGGTTCACCGGGCTGAAATTACTTGGCGTCCTGTCGTCCATGGGCGCGCCGGAAAAAAAAAAACGATGACACGTTTGGTACAACGACGCTCGGGCGTGCTTTCATAATTTGCCAGTCGGTTGAAATTCCGACTCGAGTTAGGCTCGGCGTGAGATGGCACCGAATCCACGCTGGCAGTGCTTCGCAACTCTGCTCGCTGTTGCATTCCGCAAGTCCGGCTCTTTGTAATGACCAAACCGTGTTGTGTTGTAGCCGGCGGTGGAAATGGGCCAGAATGACCTGGAACGCCCATTGTGGTGGAAGTGAAAATTTGAACCCCGACTGGCTGCGTGTTCTGGAAGGAACCAGGGACAAGTTTAATAGCGGCGGGTGGTCTCTTTATGTCTATAAATATACGTCTATATATAATGTCTTTATGTATTTATGTCTTTATATATTTTACCCGCAATTGTTCATCCATCACGCTATGCATTTCCCAAATGGTATGTGGAGGGAAAACAAGCAAGGTCTGAGAATATAAATAACAGATACGTATATATATTTTTAAAAACCCCATCACTTCACTTTGTTAAATGAATGCACTGAGATTGGCAAAAAAAAAGTGAATCTATTTCGTCAACGCTCCCCAAAAACGCATCGAAACGTCTACAAACCACAACCGCGAAAACCTACGCGGTGATCTTAGAGGTTTTTGTGCCAGTGAAGCCACTGCACACTACACGCACCTGATGGTTGGTAATCATGGAAAGCTGAACCATGGGGTTGGAGGTTGTCACAAGGACTGTAGTTGGGGGAGGGGCGGGGGGGGGGGACAATCACACAGGTGACCCCCATTAGTGGCACACGCAGCTAAACATTTCCGAGGAAGCAAATTGTCTTCCTGCCCAGAGTGTGTTCATGCATTGACCCATACCGCGTTGTGCTCATTCGACCTCGCGCGCCTTTCTTCTCCCCCAGAGTGATGTCCCTCATCGAGAAGACCGTGGCCAGGTTGGATCAAGACGCCGTTCTGGAGCAGCTGATATTCGAGCTGGGCCGCAAGCACTACAAGTACAACGCTCCTCCCAAGTACTACGAGGTGAGGTGGCAGTGGGGACGGGGGGACGCGGGGGCTGGTGTCCGGACACCTCCCCCACCCCCCCCCCCCAACGATGCCTACGACCCCCAACAGCGGCCTTGCCTCGAAGGTAGTTGGGGGGGGGCAGGGCGGGGTTGGCCACAATCGTTGAAGGCAAGGGTCGGATTAGCGCCGTTATTTCCTTGGAAGGTTTCGCTTTCAGGGCACGAGAAGCTGCGACCGCGCGGGTGATAGATGGGGCGGGGGGGGGGGGGCGAGCGAGCGAGGCGGTGGGGGGGGGGCTGGTCTTGCGGTGCCGTTGAGACAATGTCACCGACCCGCGGCCCCTGTTGTCTGTGCCGGCGACACTTTTTTTTCCATTGTTTTCCTATCCACAGACAGCCGGCGACAAATATTCCCGCTGATAGCGGGGAAGCACGGCGCGTCTGATCCGGCGCGGTTACACAAAGCCGATTTTATTGTACATATATACAGGGTGGCCAATAAGTCAGGACACATAGCGTTATTGAATTTATTTTAACAAATGTCCTAACTGACCGCCATTAATATTACTGCATGGTGCATGCATTCTCTTTTGAAATTAATTCAGGCGTTTTTTTTTTAAAGATTCCAGCTGCCTTCTGTGGCATACATGAACACGAAGTGAACTGGATCGTCATCGGAATATTTTTGTATTTCCATTTTTCAACGTCATCTGAAAGGGAAGAATAAAAGTAGATGGTAATTATGATAATCGATACGATATTAACTTAAAGAATGAACAATTGCAATGTATAATGCGAGTGTTAAAATAAAGGAAGAAAATAAAACATATTTGCCCTGACTTTTGGTCAACCCTGTAAAACACAAACAAAATATTTTTTATAGCCTCAGAATACCCCACGGTGCTATTTTTCCTGAGATCCTGCGAAGGGGAAAGGGGAAATGTACAGCCGTGTAAACAAGGCTGGCATGTAAACAAATGTGCAGAGGCGGAGAGAACAGGACATTGCCATCATTGATTGTATTCAGGAGAGAAAAGGTCAGCGATTCGTCCAGATTTAAGCGCAGTGAAAATACAGTGTTGTAGAACGGGGGCCAAGGCTATTCTTGACATCAGGTGCAGCCGTAGTTTTTGCGTTGTTGTCAGCCGGTAACTGCCCACTGATAGGCAAAGGCTTCTCCAATGTTCTTACCGTTTCATTCCTCTCCTGCCCGCCAAGCGGACTCCGAACTCTGAGATGTCACCTCGCCGTCTCTTCCAGCTGTCACCCCCCCCCCCCCCCCCACCGCTTCATTTTGCCTTCCCTCCACGGTGTCCATGCAGTCCGTTGTTACTTTTGCCTCATCGCTCGAGCGCAGCGGGGGGAGAAATAAGGGGAGGGAGCTGCCCCCACCGTTCGACGGAAGGTTGTGAGCGGAGCGACGGACACGTTCGGAGGAACGTGATGGGTTTTTTTCACGCTTGTTTCAAACGAGCGTTGGGGTGGGCAACTGTCGTTTGGCAAGTTTTGCAACGTGTTATTTTTCTCATCCGGTCAAAACCTTGCCGTCCTTCTCCACCGTGCCCTGTAATTTATTTGGCAAGGCACGTCTACCACAAAACCCTGGGAAGGACGTCGTGATCATTTGAGCAATCATCATCATCATCATCACCATCGCCCGCAGTTAAAATGTTCTCAAAATCAAAATGTGCACAGCACAACTGGCAAATAACAGGCGTGGAGCCTAAATGAATTGATACGAATGTATCCATGCCCCGCCACGTGGTTAAATAGCTGCACATTAAGTACGCCTAAAAAAATGAGATGCAACGGAGCGCGTGCGTTGCTGATCGATGGGCACGTGAAGACGAATACAAAGATCCACTGCGTAGCCTACGAAGGCTGCGGGGCAGGTGCCGGTAGCGCCTGTGAAAAAAGAGCTTCATAGCTCATCGGATTTCTCCGGGATAAATAAGGATTCTGATTCTGAATGTAATTCCCTCCCAACGTCTCCTTTCTTATAACGTTCCTCTTTTCAAGAAATACATTCACATTCAGTCTTGTCTATTATCCGTTCAATCGCGCTGTATATTACAGCCCCTAATTCGGGCCTGCGCTCAGCAACTTTGATTTAAAAAAAAATTAGTGCCTATGCAGGCCGGAACAGTGCTACAACGGGGCTCGGGGTGGCCAAGGACCATGGCCGACAGCGTCTTTCGTCTTCCCAGCAGTGATGTTCGCACACCGCGCCAGGAACTCATTTGAGGCTGAGTCGACTTTAGGGGAAGAGCCTCGTGAGATTAAAACATCATTCCGCCATTGACCGGGATACGAATTCAGGTCGCCGGGGTTCGTAGCGCAGTGCGCTAACCGCTGCGCCACCGCTCCTTTGTAACTGACGGCGCGTGCGTTATTTGGTGTGACGTGTTGTAAAAGTTACAATTGTTGGAAGAGCTGTTGCAGGCTTGCGCCAAATGAAATGCAGTTGAAGAACTTTTAATTTATCTGTATTTGTAATAGAAGCACAGCCAAGAACAGATGTTAAAAGAGTGAAAACCATTTAATTAATAATAGTAACTTAGTACATGATAGTATTTGTTCTATTCTTAAAGTGCAAGGTTATCACAAAGGTGCAAGGATTCACACACACAGTCTGTGCAGTTTCACAGTAGGGGCAATGCTGCTATGTAAACCGTAAACCGCATTTATTTAAAATATAATATCACCTCCACTCAAGGGGGGTATCAAAACAGTGTACACTCCAAATAAAATACAAAGACAATAAAATAACGTTGAAGTAAAAGCCATGATAAAATAGTCAGTCTTACACTCGCTCCTAAAGCACACGGAGGCTCGTAGCTTGCCCGATCCCCCCCCAGCGTCGAGCGCTAGAGCCGAGGCTGGGAGAGTAGTCGTAGGGTACCGCTCTGAAGAGCGTGGTGCACGAACCCCCAGTCGTATGACAGATCGGTCTGGCCCGCATGTACATTGGGCTTTATAGACCAGAATGATCAATAATTTGCGGTATAATTTTTTTGCACATTTGGACTGTGACGCTGGCGCACAATGGCATCGTTTTTTTTTTAAATGACGACGCAGGATCTTGAACATCGGCAGTGTTTACCAGGGTGGCCTGCCGGATTCAAACCGCGAACCTCTGCAAACAGCGGTCGAACGCGCTGACGCCGGGCCACGTCACCGCCCACGTTTTTACGGGATAATCTTCATGCCGTGACGATTAATATCGTATCGTGGCTTAACATGAACAAAATAATTAAATCGCATCAGCCCCCCTCGCGTGGACACGGACGCAGGGGCAGGCATTCCAAGCATCGCCTCGCGAGCGAGCGAACTAAAATAGCTCCGCGTGCATTGTCTTTCGTGAATTCGTACAGTGTTGGGGTTATGTTTCTGTTCTGTATGAAGTCCAAGCCCTTTCGGTTCATGCAATATCGGAGGCGAATTGTCTCGGGCAATGTCAGGAAGAGGAAATATTTACCGTAAATCGATGTCCGTGGTCGCAGGGGACAGCATTAATTCACCCCCGGCTGTAGCCGATGCCAACTCTTGCCAGGGTTTCGGCTCCATAAATTGACCGCGTAGCTGGCATTGGCAGCGGTGATAAGTGGTATCTTGAGCTGCCCTTGTGCTTATCGTCTGCGCTTGTCGAATGCATGGTGGGTATTTCTGTAATTATTACCGTTACTGTGTGTGTCACGTGCGTACGTCCGTGTGCATAAGCTGTGGTTAAAAAAAAAATGTTCATTAATGAAACGTGTGTCTGCATGTGTGCATATATCTCTGTGGGGGGAATGGTCGCATAGCGGTTAGCACGCTGCGCTACGAACCTGGCGTACCAAGTTCGATTCCCGCTCACGGCCAACACCAGTGACGATTATGTGAAACGGTGCTGGGCCTCCCCTAGGTCGACTCAGCCTCAAATAAGTGCCTAGTGCGATGTGTAAACATCGCCACTAGGGAGACAAAGTCGCGCGGGAGTGATGCTGGCCACCCAGCCCTTCGTGTGCCGTTCCGGCTTTCATAGGTGCTCGCTAACAGCGCTTGCCCCAACAGTCTGTTACAGGCTATAAGGGGGATCTCTGTCTTTGTATACATCTCTGTGTGCATCTGTTGGTGTGCATCTGTTGGTGTGCATGATTGTCTTCGTCTCATTGTGTATAAGTGTTTGTGTGTATCCGTGCATGTGCCTGTGTCCATGTGTCTTTGTGTGTATACATGGGTCTCTCTGTGTCTGTGCATATCTATGTATGTACGTGAATGTGGGTCTGGGTTTTTCCATGTGCACCTATTTGTGTTTAAAACGTTGCTCTGCTTGCTGCTGTATGCACACGTGTATGTCTCTGTGTGTGTGAGTAGTGGGGAGCGGTAGTGTAGTTGGTTAGCGTGCTGTGTTCCGAACCCGGCGACGCAAGTTCGATTCCCCGCTCAATGCGAGCACCAGTTACGATTATTTGAATCGGTCCTGGGCCTCCCCGAGATCGACTCAGTCTCAAATAAGTACCTGCTGTGGTGTGTAAACATTGCCACTGGGAAGACAAAGACGGCCGGGCGTGTTACTGACCATCCACCCCCTCGTGTGACGTGCCGGCCTTCATAGGTGGTCGACAACAGCATGTGGCCCAAACGTCTGGTACAGGCTACGCGGCGGGGGTCTTCATCCTTGTCTTCCTGTGTGATGTCTTGTGCCCTCTCAGTTCGTGGGGGCTGAGTTCATATCGGCCGTGAAACCTGTGCTGGGAGATCGGTGGACTCAGGACGTGGATGACGCATGGCAGGCACGTACGCACACGCACATACACATACACACGCACATACACACGCACACGCACATACACACGCACATGCACATACACATACACACATACACACACACATACACACGCACATACACACGCACATACGCACGCACATACACACACACATACACACACGCACACACACATACACATACACACGCACATGCACATACACACGCACACACACATACACACACACATACACACGCACATACACATACACACGCACATACACACGCACATGCACATACACACGCACATACATACGCACATACACACGCACATACACACGCACATACACACGCACATACACACGCACATACACACGCACATACACACGCACATACACACGCACATACACATACATACGCACATGCACATACACACGCACATACACACGCACATACACATACACACGCACACACACATACACACGCACACGCACATACACACGCACACACACATACACACGCACACGCACATACACACGCACATACACACGCACACACACATACACACGCACATACACATACACACGCACATACACACGCACATACACACGCACATGCACATACACACGCACATGCACATACACACGCACATACACACGCACATACACACGCACATACACATACACACGCACACGCACACGCACGTACGCACACGCACATACACACGCACATGCACATACACACGCACATACACACGCACATACACACGCACATACACACGCGCATGCACATACACATGCACACGCACATACACACGCACATGCACATACACACGCACATACACACGCACATGCACATACACACGCACATACACATGCATATACACATACACACGCACATACACACGCACATACACACGCGCATGCACATACACACGCACATACACACGCACATACACACGCACATACACACGCACATACGCACGCACATACACACGCACATACACACGCACATACACACGCGCATGCACATACACATGCACACGCACATACACACGCACATGCACATACACACGCACATACACACGCACATGCACATACACACGCACATACACATACACACGCACATACACACGCACATACACACGCGCATGCACATACACACGCACATACACACGCACATACACACGCACATACACACGCACATACACACGCACATACACACGCACATACACACGCACATGCACGTACGCACACGCACATACACACGCACATGCACATACACACGCACATACACACGCGCATGCACATACACACGCACATACACACGCGCATGCACATACACACGCACATACACACGCACATACACACGCGCATGCACATACATACACACGCACATACACACGCACATACACACGCGCATGCACACTTCCTCGTTCCCTACGCTACGCTGCGCTCTCTCTCACAGCCAGCGGCAAATTGTGGAATTTTGCGATGGCAACACCATGAAGGAGAGAGAGAGAAAACGTACATCATCTCTTTCAGCTCATATTCATCATTACTCACATATTCATCATCTTTATAGTCAGCCATGATCTGTCCACTGTTGGATGAGCAATAGCCGGCAGCAGCAAAAATACAAATTGCATTTCATTTATGATGATGTCATCATCGTCATTATTTGCCACGATCTATTCAATGGTGGATGAAGGCTACCCCCAAAGCTGTTTCCATCTTTCACGAATAGACCGTAGCAAGTAATAAATATATTTATTTTCGTTATTGAGTTGAGTTTTGGGCAGTTTCGGCAACCACGAACAGCAAGACGACTTGGAGAATGCCAGGGCAAACGAGACAGGCACTGGAAGGATACCCAGAGGTTGGAGAGCAATCGGAAGACTTTAAGATAGCTCTTGAAGGACCTGTCACTGTGTACCAAGGCGAGCTGCTGAAGCCAGGCAAAGGTGATCGAATTTCCCGAACAGACCTAAGAGGTCCGGTAGAAGGAAGCGATGGCAGATGCAGAAGAGAAGGAAGCAAATGTGGTGGCGTCAACGCCATTCACTGTGCGTGACCTCTTGACCTTGACCTTTGATTAAAAAATATATGAACCGTATTTCCTGAGATACAATCATCCACGTCTCATAAAGGACAATGCATCGCAGAGGGCCTTTACCTGCTTATTAAGGTACATCAATCATTCCGGTAGAACATTCGTTTTTATTTCGTAAGTTTCGCTTCAGAAGAACATACATTTTCTTTTGTCAGCCGCTTTAATGTAAAGTTACAGTGTAAAGCGTAGTTTTATTCGGCGGTCTGCATTCCAGTCCATGAAATGAAAATACCGGGGCTTGTCAAACGCTGTTGTCGCATCTGAATCTTTGGTTGACGGCGCGAGTTAAAGCTTAGGGCCCCAAATCAACTCAAGTGGCCCTGAATTTCATGAAAAAGAGGGGTACATGAAATACCAGCTCATGTTCAAATCCAACTAAATGTAACAAACTAATTAACACAAACATCCAATTATTGTCTCTCATCTCTATCTTGTCAGCATCTGATCTCTCCTCTCATCTCACGAAATCTCTCTCTCGTGTCTGCATCTCTCTAATTTCACCATATTTCTGTCTCATCTGTATCTCTCTTCTCTCATCTCACTACGCCTGCCATTGATCCGCATCTCTCTTCTAACTACATCTACTGTATATATTACGATAATGTTATACATTTTATAAATTGTGAAGTGGGGGGGGGGGGGGGGGGTATGTGTATAGGGAGGCCGAACAATAATTTCTGTTGTCGACTCTCAATGGGGAGCTAGCACTACCACTAAATCATCATCATTAGCGGCAACTGAGCCATAATTTATTTAAACGATCGTACATAACATTTTTGCAGTTTTATGCGTTTCGGTTGTTGGGTACCAGCTGTTTTTAAGAATCTCACAACTCCCGCTGTTTTTTTTGCTAAATTACAATCGTTAGCTCTGCCAACTCCCCGCGCCTGCGGGGGGAAAAATAAACATTTGTTTGCATTTAATTTTCTTTGGCGATGTTTTCCACCCCCTGTGGCTCTGAGTACACCACACGTGACTCTGAGTACACCACACGTGACTCTGAGTACACCGCACGTGGCTCTGAGTACACTGCACGTGACTCTGAGTACACCGCACGTGACTCTGAGTACATCACACGTGGCTCTGCACCGCACGTGGCTCTGAGTACACCACACGTGACTGTGTACACCACACGTGACTCTGAGTACACCTCACGTGACTCTGAGTACACCTCACATGACTCTGAGTACACCGCACGTGACTCTGAGTACACCTCACGTGGCTCTCTGAGTACACCGCACGTGGCTCTGAGTACACTGCACGTGACTCTGAGTACACCGCACGTGACTCTGTGTACACCTCACGTGACTCTGAGTACACCGCACGTGACTGAGTACACCGCACGTGACTCTGAGTACACCTCACGTGGCTCTGAGTACACCACACGTGACTCTGAGTACGCCTCACGTGGCTCTGAGTATACCTCACGTGGCTCTGAGTACACTGCACGTGACTCTGAGTACACCGCACGTGACTCTGAGTACACCTCACGTGACTCTGAGTACACCTCACGTGACTCTGAGTACACCGCACGTGACTCTGAGTACACCTCACGTGACTCTGAGTACACCTCACGTGGCTCTGAGTACACCTCACGTGACTCTATAATCCTCACGTGACTCTGAGTACACCTCACGTGACTCTATAATCCTCACCCGTACACCTGGGAGGCGCGCGCCACAGGCCACGTGGCCCCTCTGTTTTTTTCTACGAGGCTGCTGAAATATAAAAAAAAGATTCCCCGCTGAATGATTACAGTCGAGCGGAATAATCAAAGGCGTTTCGAGGTAATCGTGCGAAACGCACGGCTACCGAATGAAAATTCTGCGAGCGAAACACAAAAACGAACGTGGGTGAATCTACGCTCATTTACGGGCGGTTGAACTCTATTTTTGCTTTTTTTTTAAATTGATGCGAACAGTAAACCGTGCAGCGAGGCTTGAGGCTCATGAAATCGTAACCAGCCATGCCGTTGCTCTGCAAGCGTTAACGTTAACATTGCTCTTTTGTTCCGTTCTGCTTATTCAAGTGTTTTGTAGAAAAAGTTCGTGCTTTACTATTTTGAGAATGCACGAACCATCTGCCAGGGCAGCGCAGCAATGGACGCAATGTTATTCCTTCGTGTCGATTTTTTCGCTTTTATTTATTTCATCTGCTCGCCGGGCTCTCTCAGAGAATAGCTCATTCTGCAGTACGTGCTTGGTTTTTGCAAATAACCAAAAACTGTTTGTGTTACATTAGCTCCTGTGTGTTGATGTAGACGGGCCTGCGACGAGGAGACTCAAGATATTCTCAGGAGGGTCCTTCTCGGGGATGTATGGGCCATTTTATATATTTTTTAAAATATTTTTCAGCGTGGGAGGAAACTTGAGAGCCTGGAGAAAAGCATCTACAAACGAGGGCAGAACCACCACACATCCCGTCCCAGAGACGTTCTGCCCCACGTTAGCTCTTCGTATACAGCCCTTGTAAAATCCACTGCTGGATGAAGGCCCCCTTCACACTGTGTCATAGTGGTTGTTTGACTATACTTCACACATTATGGTCGGTGCAGGTTTGGTGAATGAGGGTGCACAGGGCCGAATATGATATCACTCGCCATTATTGGTGTTGACCTTGACGGGGAATCGAACTTAAAATCATCAAGATTCTCTTTTTTTTTGCCCATGCAAAACTATTTTATTTACCAGGTAAAGACCACTGAGTTATTGATTATTTTTGCCGAAGTGACCTGGCCACACAGGATAGCTCATCGAAGTGGCTTATATCATCATCATCATCATCACAAGCAGGAATGTATAGTCGCAGCCAAATAATATCTCTAAATGTGGAGGGTCAAACTGGAGGAACCCGGAGCAAAATCCACGCGACCACCACGGGGATCGAACAAGCGACCTCTTGTGCACCAGGCGATGGCGATAACATCTCCTTGCCATCACGCCGCCGCCATAACTCAGTGCGTTAACCGCTGCACCACCGATCCTTCCCAATTAGCCCTTACCTTGGCTATAATCGAAGCTGACAAAGGTTGGAGTGTACATGCAAAACAGTTACCACTGAAAAGTCCTTCACAAGACTGACCTGTAGGTTTGTGGTGCGTGCAATGCACATCCGAAACAATGCTTGTTTTTTCTTCCTTGCCTTGAATTACATGTTTTTGTTTGCATAATAAGCAATTCAGGTCAACGCCTCCGTCGCTTATTAAATATCTGTCGCTCTTGAATTAGTTTCCAGAGACTCCCATCGACTCCCCCAGGTTAAATCATTGAGACATGACGGACGTGGTACACATGGAAAATTGAATGCCACAATACGGTGACATGAGGCAGCCAGAAATTTGGTTATCGGGTGATCTTCATCTCCCGTTACTGTTTACGGGGGAGGGCGGTGGGTAATGATGGCAATTCCACATTCCTATGACGGACACCAGTCCATCCTACCGAGTGGTGCAGCCTCTCCAGAAGATGAGGTTTTTAGAATGCCTGTAGTGGCAATGAGTTGAGTCAGCCCTGACGGGCCTTTGAACTCGACACAGCATTTCCCCATTCGTGTTCCAATGAGAAAAAAACAAATGTCCCCCTGTTGCCTACAAAGGCTGCTGGAGTAAGTGCTTGTTAGTGAGCACCAATGCCAGCGCAATGCACGATGGGGTAGTGTGGCTCATGGCACCCGGCTGCCTTTGTCTCCCCAGTGCTGATGTTTACACGCCACATCAGGTATTCATTCATGGCTGAGTCCACCTAGGGGTAGCCCAGGACTGGTTCAGATATTCGCCCACCGAAGTTGGCCGGGGACCCGCAATTGAACGCGGGTGGCCTAGGTTTGCAGCACAGTGCGCTTACCTCTGCGCCACCGTTCCACCGCCCGCTCACACAACAGAGACAAAGACGCACAGATGCACTCCATGAGTAACAGTAACGAGTGATGTACCCCCACAGAGGCGACACAGACGATGGAGGCAATAAAAAGGGCTTCGTTGAAAGACAGAAGAAATAACGAGACAATGTTCTGACCAAATGGGGTTTATTTTTCATTTTAGGCCGAACAAAAGATGTTTGGCCGATATTTGTTTTTCTAGGTTTTTTTCTTGTTTAGTGATGTTTACTCACTTGTATCTCTGCGCTGAAATGATTTGAGTTAAAGTCAACAAACCGTGGCATTTGAACGGTTTCCTGAAACCACATCCCCTGACACGAGTGCTCACTCTGCGCTAAGTCTGGCTTAGCGAGCAGGGCATCGCGTTGTGCCGATGCACCGGTTAAATGCACGTGTTTCGTATAGTGTACAGTTTAACAAAAAAATTATTGCTACCTCTGGCTCACGGTAAATTGGCACCGACACCGCAGTTATCACACTCTGCAATGTCGATTGATAAATGTCAGGAGACCCGTATGATCTGATTTATTTCAGTGCATCTTTTGAACTCGTTCATTTCACATCTTCGGCTATGACGCGTGGAACGGAAATGTGAGCAACTGAGAGAAAATATCGGGTAAAAAACACAACAACAACAACTAACGTACGTATGTTGAGCTTGTTCTATGTAGGTTGAACTTCTTTCGCACCGTACGTAGCCAACCGTGCTCATCGGAGGTGCATGGGAAGGACAGCAAACGAAACGCGCGCACACACGACAAACATTTGATAACTCCATGGAGAGAATTACACTGCCGCAGAACGGAGAGAGGAAGCCTTGGGCGAGGGACGATACACAAGCTCGAGATCACACACTGAGCAGGGGACATTGCTGGAAGGGATGCATGGTCGAGACTCCACGGAGGGGGTGGCAGACCATGATGACCTCATCGTATGTTTCCACTGTGATCGTTGCCGTTTGAATTCGCGTACTTAACGTCCGCATTTAGATGGCCTCGTCAACTCGGGTGGCACAATTCCGCCACATCTCACCTCGCGACATTCGGAGGGCACCCTCCAGTGGCAGGCTGTCCCTTTGCGGCACAAGGTGACGACTGCACCGAATTGCTAAGCGGGCATTCGTCTGCCACCAGTGGGTGGAGGGTGCCCTCCTAAAGAGCCACCTGGACAATTCGCGGCGTCACAATTTCAAGCACGGTTGGCTACGTACGGTGCGAATGAAGTCCAACGTACACTTACGTACGTTGATGCTTGCCAGCTAGTAACTTAATGCAGTTGCTGCTGCTGCTGACATTTTCATACACTGCTATCGTTTTACCATCCTCACATATCTGTCAACCCAGACGGTTTAGCCGTATTCTTGTCGAGGGAAATTGAGTTTTCAGATCCGTACGACATACAGCCGTTTCAATAAAAAAGTGTCTATTTCTTTTTGGTTCTTTCGGTAAAGTCACGTAGGTATAAAATAAAATAACTCACGACGTTTCGGGCTCAACACAAGCATCCTGTCATCAGGTGATGGTGATGACGGACGCTTTTGTTACACCCGAAACGTCGTGAGTTATTTCATTTTCTACCTACGTGACTTTACCGAAAGAACCAAAGAGGATGGATCCCTGCAGTCACGAAAGTTTCAAATCAAGAAGTGTCTATTTGTTTGTGTTTCTCCCTTGTGATGGGACTTTGTAAGATGAACTTTGAGTTGTATAAGGACACGGGGTGACCAATGAGGTCCGAATTGGTCGGGCACTGATAAGGGGTTGACAGGTAAGTGACTCATCATCGTCGTCGTTAACGTGTCGGCAATACGTTCTCCGGCAGGCCCTCTTCAAGTACATCACGACGAACATGGAGCGCGGCTTCAGGGAGGAGGAGTCCGGCTTCGTGCTGGGCAAGGTCGCCGGCGGTGACAGCGTCGGCGACAAGCACGGCAGCGCCGTGGACGAGGCGGCCCACGCAGCGGCCAAGATCAACGCCGACGCCGACGCTCAAGATACGGCGAACTGAGCCGAGGCCCCCCCGCAAAAACCACCAACACCCCCCCCCCCCACCACCACCACCCCACCATACCCCACCACCACCACCATCCTCCCGACCACCCCCACACCCCCCACCACCACCCCAACGCCAACCCTGACACCGCGCCGGTATTCGGTCCCACGCAGTTTTACGAGTGCCGGTAACGACTTAGGGCTTGAATATCTGACCGAACTTTGTTGTTCTTTGTCGTCGTCGTCGTCGCCTTTAACCGTGTCTCTGCCGTGTGACCGGAGCGAGTCGGCACGCGACGAGTGGCCGCGGCCACAGCAGAAGGTTTACTGGACGCGGTGTCCCGGCGGGCATAACTGTTGTTCGTGTCGCTGACCCTTGCTGGCATGAAGGACGGGGATGTGTGGCCGTGGGGGTGGGGGGCCCGCGTATTCAGGGATTGCGGATTGAGTGGACCCGGAGGGGTTGGCATTGTTGGACCTCGAGGGGGGCAGGGAGGGAGAAGTACAGAGCGTGGGGGGGGGGGGGAGGAGGGGGGGAAATCGTCGATAAGTTGTTCGAGCAAAACAATAAAAACACAGCCCAGCACCTCGCGCACGCAACCTGACCGGGACAACATCGTCAGGGGCTGCAGCCATAGCGTCGTGGTCCTACTGTTGACCCTTTTTTTTAACATCGGCAACCATCATGCAAATTGTGGGCACGTGCGCACCTACGAGGGTGAGTCGGAAAATGTTTCCCCTGACCCCGCGACACAATGTCGTTGGCACAGGGCCCTGGTACAACGGATTGATGAGGCCCTCCTCGCTGTCAAATGACCCCTCCTTCTTCTTAGCCCGGTACCTGGGCACCCTCCAGCCATCCCATTCGCCGTGTTGCAGTTACACAGCCTGCACACCCGATATTCTGTGCCACGATCATCGGCATAAAACAGTGGCGCTGTGCCAGTGAAACTCGGCACAGATGTTGCACGGGAGCCCTGTTCTATGTCAACCCTCGCTCAATGGGAGGTCGCTCCTGCTCCTCTGCTGCCCCCAAAGTCTGGACTTCCTGCTCCCACTCCCTATCATCCGTGTTGCGGACTCCCTGCCACTGTTCCACTCCCAAGGCTCAAGACATTCCTTTTTACCTCTGCCTATGATTCACTTCCTCACTCTACTAAAGAAAGATGACGACTGTTTCTGTAGATTGTCCTGAGATTCGGTCATGTTTAGATGATATAATTGTCCACGTTGTGATATATGTAGGTTCTAGGCCGTGCCATCCATTTTTCCCCCAGAAATGGGAGAGTTTCCTGATGACATTTGAGTCAAATAGTAGCCATGTGCCTGGCTCTTTGGCCAGGTTGTGGCCCAGTAATAGAGCCCAACTGCACACCAATTATTGCAACTCCTGTAAGAGATAGTCTCGGATAGATATACACTTTGAAATGCCCCCGTCCCCAACCACCCAAATACTTAATGAAAAACTATGTGCCACATGTTTACCAAGTTTCACTGTCACTCAATGAATGATCGGAGGAGGGGGGGTTCGAAACATTTGACCTCCTCGTAACTCCACTTTAGATGATCGTCAAAACCAGGGACGGAGCACCCGGCAAGTCGGATATTCTTCCAGTTCTTGTTGTAATCGGGCACCCCTGTACAGAATAACACACCTGGGGAGTACAGCTGGCTTTAATGAGCACAGCCAAATGTAGCCAGCACATGGCTGGCATGACGACGCGTTGCTGTGCTTTAGCCAGGTGCTATGCATTTATTTTTGGAGGATCCAACAATCGGGTCCACAAAACCTGAATCATTAGTTGCGTGCAACCCGGTTGCACGCTTGGATGCGGAACAGATGTCTCTGCAATCAGTTCCAAGCAGTTTGCTCAAGCGGTTGAGCAACAGTAATGACATGCTCGCCTTTCAAGCATCTGCCCAGCGATTTGTAGTCGCAAATTTAAACCGCGTGCTTGCACGTTTGCGACTCGTGAATGGTTGTTACTGCGATCCTGAATGACATGCCACGGTGCTTTCATGGTCGGCCAAACTACTCGCTCGGCGTGTGGACAAAGCCGTGGCAGGCGACGATTTAATTTTGAGCGATTTCGAGAGATTTATTCGCGCGACTGCTGATCGCCCGTGTGTGTGTGTGTGGACCTGGCTTTGTGGCGATTTTCGCACACACACCTTCAACCCCCAAACACCCCCGGGCGAGTGGGAATCTCTCACGGGCCGAACGTGCCCTGGCAGGCGCAGGCGTCTCCCCACGTTTTAGCGGTCGCCGTTCATGTCTGCGCACTTGCACACAGAGACAAAGACAAAGATCCCCCATATAGCCTTAACAGACTGTAGGGGCAAGTGCTGTTAGCGAGCACCTATGAAGGCCGGAACGGTACACGAGGGGGTGGGTGGCCAGCACCACGCCCGGCCGCCTTTGTCTCCCCAGTGGCGATGTTTACACACCGCACCAGGTACTCATTTGAGGCTGAGTCGACCTAAGCGAGGCCCAGGACCCGTTCAGATAATCGTCACTGGTGTTGGCCGTGAGCGGGAATCGAACCCGGGTGGCCGGGTTTGCAGCGTAGTGCGCTAACCGCTACACACACACACACTCACCGCGCTGTCTATTCCACACCTGTGGTTTTCAGACACGCACGCACGCACTCTGGGTGCAACTGGTCTTTCTCCTACCCTATGCATTGGGCTTAGAATTATTGGGGAAATTTGGTGATGGCTCGGCAAATAAAAAATAAGCCATGTTGTAAAGTTCGTAATTTGACCCACGTTAATGGGTTCGGTTTTTCTCTCCTTGACTTTCTTACTTTCGCCAACGCTTGTAGGCATTCCACCTCCTGAGGTATAAGAAAGCGGGGCATATACGAAGAAGAGTGTCTCACTATAGCGGGATTGGGTAACACTGCGTGTGAATGCGGTTGCCGTCAGTGGTGTACTTCCATAACGCAACTGACAAAAAAACCGAGGTCAATAATGCCCCCTGGGACGACTTGGAGATTTCCCAGGACAGCAGCGGCAGCCTGAAAATATAGGGCCTCGTGGGAAAGCCCAGGACAAGGTGTGGCAGGCCCCCCCCCCCCCCCCGTGGGTACGCCTGTCGCTCGCAAGCGGTAACTAAGCTGACCGTTCGCGAAGGCAATCAATTCCCAGGGGCTCGTCAGGGGGGGCGGGGGGGGGGGAAGTAGTTCACTCCGCGCCTCGCCGCATTCATTCCACCGGATTATTTCCAGCGCCAGGCAAGAAGGTCGAGGAAGGGCAGGTCCGCTCCGCGCCTCAAGACACCGCCGCCGCCTTATTGAAACTTTCACTCGAGCACCTGCGCTGCGGATACAATTGAAGGGGCCGTTGTGAGCAGCCGGAGTAGTGGGGGGATAGGTGGTGGTGGACGGGGGGGGGCAGGGAGCAAGCGAGGGATTTACTGAGGCTGTTGTTCAGTCCCTCACAGCCCCGAGGAGTAGGCGTAAGCTATTGGAACGTCAACGGTGTAGAAGGACGCTTAAAAATGAAATAACGGTTCACGATCACCATATAAGCAAACACTTTAGAATTGGCAGTATTTGGCTTTTTTCTGTTAAATGCGCAGCGACGAAAGGCGTAACATTATAATGTGTTTGAGCAGCAATATTGCATTTTTTTATATTCGCATTAAGGACCTTAATGGGAACACTGTCTTGGTTTAGAATTTGTGAATTATGTTGTATACATATTTTTTTCACATCGTTCTTGAAATGTAACGTTTTACACAGATTAATGTTGCCTATAAGTTGAAAGCTCTCAATATAAAATTTAACAAAAACTATAGCATGCTTTTATAAATGAAAATTAATTTCATCGAGTTTTTAGCTCACAAAAAATAATTAGCGTTTTCTTTTTTTAAAAAATCGAAGAGAAATTCCGTGGAATTCCTTTGTAAGATTGAGCTGTTGAGTGATTTACAGACTGTTGCTTGTGTGGCCGTGTAAGCCTTCAGCAGGATTTAGAGAAATCGTAACATATATCAGATACATCATACTGACTCGCATCAGATTTCATTACGGGCATTTGCAAGAGGAATACAGTACCATAAGCATGGTGAATCGTCACGTTAAGGAAAATTAATTTAAGGAATCAGCCAGAGTTTCAGTTAATAGATTTTCTATGTTGATATACAGACACGTTATTAGCTGAGGCGGCTTTCATTAGCAAACGCACGGGGCCGTTTAAATGACGTTTCATCTGTCAATTACTCCGAGCCGTATATGACAGTAAATCAAGCGTGCGTTGGAGGCGGCTGGCTACTGAAGCTGCATTAATTGAACAAAGGCAATCAGATGGACGTCAAACGAGCTGAAAAGTAAATGTGGTCAGCCCCGACAGTCCATCACTCTCGACCAGGTTGTCCATTAAACAAGACACGTCGTCAGGCAAGTTCCACTCCACCAGAAGACGGGCGGTTGGGGTTTTTGTTGTTGTTGTGGCAGCGTTGTTGTTGTTGGCTGCCCGCTCGCTATATTACTGATCTTCCTCAGGGGGTGGCATACAAGCGCAGATGCCTCGGCCAAGCAAAGAAATTGGCCATTCAAGCGACGTGTGCCTGTGTCGTCTGCGTGTGACCCCTTGTCCATCAGTGGCCGGTCCTGGTCCGCTTCGCCTCGCTCTGTGCACCACACCCGTGTGTGTGTGTGCTGTCTTCTTATTCTTCTTTTCGGTTCCACGTATCCATAGCTGTCAACCCATACGGTTTACCAGTGCCGGATTAAGCTAGTGCGGGGCCTGTAGCATATGTTATAAAGGGGCCCTAAATTTAAATAAAACACGTAAATATTCAAACACACATTTTTTATTTGCATCGTAAAGTAATTGTATTTTTTCATTTGCTATACAGCAAGATAATACGACAAATCACTAACCTTAAACACCCAGTCTTTCAGACAAATTGAAGGCAGTATAGTACTATAGTAACAGAGCAAGTGCAGAATCACTTAACCGGAATTGATAGCTTGAAAGCATTTAGCGCGAGGCCCTTGAAAGTGCGGGGCCCGTAGCATTTGCTACTTTTGCTACGAGGATAATCCGGCACTGCAGTTTACCCGTATTCTTGTACATGGAAATTGAGTTGTTTTTTTTTCGGTCCGTACGGCGGTACGTACAGCGGGGAAAGAAAAAAAGTGTCTGTCTGTTTTGTGTTTCTCCACCTGTGATGGGACGTTGTGGGATGAACGTTGAAGGTTCATAAGGGGGCCACGGGGTGACCAATAAGGTCTGAGAATCGGTCTGTAATGAGGCAGGGCACCGATAAGGGGTTGACAGGTATGGCTGATCCCGGCGGCGGCGGCGGCGAGCGGCGCCGCCAAATCGGCGTCAGCGAGTTTATCCCTCCGCGCTCGACAACCGCTCTTTGGTCGAATCGTGCCTTCTTTTGCAAAAACAAATGGACAACGGTGCCCGCTTTCCGTGCGCAACTCAGTTCATTGAAAACGTTTAGCATAGAGGAGAGGAAGACTAAAACACCGCTGTGGGATTTATAGCCCGTGGATTCATACCCGTTAGCTCTAGGATAATGAGCTTAGTTCGTCCAAATATTTAAAGTCTGTACTCTGTGTCTACGTATCATGCAAATGTAACAAGCAGTACTGTGTCACTGTAATGTATATATTATATATAATGTAGTATTTCAACGGTGGTTTTAAATGTATCGTAGCTTGCCGCCGAAAAGCAAACGTGATCTATTACATCCCTCTGCCGCGCTTGTTCGTCACGAGTCCTTTATGTTGTGGCGGTGTGTAGTGGCAAAAAGGCGAAATGTGGGGGGAGGGGGGGGGTTCAGTCTCTCCGCGGCCATTCCGACCGAAGCACGTTTTTACATTTCACTGCGCGATATTCGAGGTGCGATCCAATTTGGCAGCCCGTGTCAAAAAAAAACAGCGTTTCGGTAAACCCGAGCGTAACCTGCTGGGCCCCCGTTCTGTTCTGACAGCTGCATCGCACAGAAGAGGGTCAGGCAGACAGAGTTTATTCCTCGGTGGGGTCGATAACAGTCCTCGCATTTAATCACGTCCTGCAGCTAAAATGTCCTTAATTGGCTGAATTGCTTAAAATAAAAATTTAATTCAAGAAAAAATAATACGACCCGGTATAGATTTTTCCTTCCCTTTTATCCGACTGCAATCAGCCCCGAATGTTGCTCGAGGAATGAACAAGAGGGTCTATTGTTCATCAGCAAATTAGCACATTCCCATGTTTGCATCGGCTGTGGCCAGTCGGGTTATGTACAATGAAATAAATAACCCCAGTGTTATACGTCCATCCGTGGGTAGCAAAGCAGTGCAGTTGTACTGTGCTTCTATGCTCCCATATGTGCCGTGCCTTCACCAACCCGCACTGACCAGCGCGTGGGTGAAGTGTGGCCAGTAACCCCCACGACCCTCAATGGCATGGGGTATGACCTCAATCCAGCAGTGGATTAACAGGACTATTCGTGTACGTAAAAGGAAAAAAAATGCACACGTTGGACAAATTAATTACGGACAAGGTGGGAAACTTTTAAGCAGGCGAGAAATTGGGCCACTAAGTAATTACATGTACGCAGTTCATTGGTTATTTAGTTATGGTGTATTGCGGTAGAAGGTTTGGTGACCGGTAAACGTATTTTTTTTTATTAATTGTGCAACTGCTTGGATAACCTTGCGTTTTAACGTGTTAATGACAGACTGCTTACTGTGCGTCAATATAAACACGGTGCTATGCTGCTCTATAGTGGACGAAGAACTGATGGCAGTGCCAAGGCATCCCGACAAATGGCTGTGTGCATTTTCAAAAGCAATAAGGCACATTTCAACGGGCATGACGGTAATCGGTTACTCGCCACGAGTAATGTTGCTCAGTTTAAACAATTCCAACTCTGAAACACAATGAAGCTTCTCGCTTCAGGAGGTTGGCACTGCCCAAGGTTTCCAATGGCCATGCAGTAATTAAAATGCAATGAGTTGGGTGCCCTCTACTGCATAAGCTGTGGCAGCACCGTAAATCTAAATTGGAAGGTCAAACTTTATCCCATTTATTCACTTATAACACCCTGGCTCTTTCTTCCACATAGATCAGTCAATCTTAACCACGTCTGCAGAAAGCCATATGCATTCTGTAAATGAGCATAACTCAATAAAACAAAAGTTGCAGTTTTATTGGCGTGTATTATTCTTTTGATATGCGATGTTGGTATTCGTTCAGATGTTTTCTTTGCTACCACAGAGGGCCAAACAAAAATGAATCCCGTTTTTTTTAAATAAAAAATATTTATTGATTGGTATATCTGCAACAGGCTTACACCACACACCACATTAGTAGTAATGTCCACCATACCATAAATAAGTACTGTATATACCAACACTCAATATTTATCCAGTGCAAGATCATAGCATTTGGGTAAAATCTCTCTTTTGAAGGCTTTACATGTGCGTGTTTGTCTCTCAAGTTTAATATTTGCATTTTGTAATGCCAGGTGAGTGCTGTTCTATATTTTACACTTGTTAAATGCTCTACAGTAATTTTAATGGCAACTTAATCTGTGGAGCTTTTATATAATGCAATAAAATTCACCAAGACAAACATTGGTTTAAAAAAAAAAAATTAAATACTGTTTCATATCATACTGTCGGCGCTGGTTCATAAGCAAATGCTCTTCTCTTCTAAACGCACCTGCTGATATTAAACTCACTGGGGAAGCCTTGCAGCTATATTTGTTCTAGCAATTCCATATTGAGACCACTTGTAAAAAAATATATTGTCAGTTAGCACATGCAATGTTTTTATTTCACACTTCACTAGTCTTCAGCATCATTTGTATTACATATCTACCCAACTCCGCAATATTACTCTGCGTTCTGCTATTGTTCGAGCTAAACTCACCTCAACATTATCCCAAGTTTTCAAGCCTCTTCTAGAAGGTCATCAACGGTTTCCAAAAATGTAAGTCTGGCCCTAGAAGGAGCGCCAAGACGGGTTGAGTATGAGTGTACAGACTTATAATTAACGTTGATGTGGTGGTGGTGTTAATTGGGGGTCACCGGGTTGTGGAAAGATGAAGGCGGCTGCTCGAAAAGTAATTCTGGGGTTCAGGTCTCATAAAGTGCCACAGAGGACATCGTCCAATAACACGAAGTCCCATGGAAAGATTCCAGCATTGGGTGATGACATTGCTTCAGCTCTTTCATCAGTGTCAAGGCCACGTTTCTCCACACTCGCCGATAACAGAAATGAGTTATTTAAATATGTTCCAACTAGCTTTTTTGCCTGTCGAAGGACGGGTGTATATTGCAGTAAATCTGAAATATTCAAGATAAAAATTGTTCAGCTCAAGATTATCAATGAGGGGGGGGGGGGGTTGCCCCATGTGGAGTGGCGTCACCCACTAATGGTTATTGGGGAGGGATGCGGCATGTGGAGTGACGTCACCCCTTCATGATTATTAATGAGGGGAGGGGTGCAGTATGTGGAGCGCGCGACCTTGTGCGTTAGTGTAAATTTCCACGCATGCATGAATATGAAGGGGGGGGGCTCTTTTGCAGTGACATCGCGCACGGATGTAGCACTATGCTGCATAGATTCATTTTTTAGCGTCACTTTCTATAAAGAAACGTCATATTTAAAGCGACTTTGCGTAATCAATTATTTAATTCAGCTCGACCTTCCTCTGGGTTGTGAAAATCCACCCACTCATAAATACTAATGAGGGGGGTGGGCCTCATGTGGAGTGACGTCACACATAGGACGGACAGACATTTCTGGGTGATTATAGTAGGTAATTGCACAGATGGGCAAAATTAACCACACATATTTTAAACATCAAACCAATGTATTTTGAAACAAATCAGGAAATGTCGCCTTTGGTTGCGGTACGGATGTGTTGTGAAAATCAAAAAAGTTGCAGATATTTGAAAAATCACCCTTCATTCTGAATTCAGTTTTTGGGAAATTTAAGGAAACAAAATATGAGAGATTATAAAATTATATGACAGTTCTGGCACGTTCTTAGACTGCATACAAAAGTTTCCACTGGTGGTGAAAACAGGTCTAAAATAAAATAAATTTACCATTGTGAAATATTTATTCCGAACGTACAATATTCAAACATTAAAAAGTGGTATAAAAAAAAGTGTTTCTTTTAGACCTGTTTTAACCACCCATGAATATACTTTTGCATGAAAGGTGTAAGAACACATCAGAAACTCACATAATAGTCGAACCTCTCAATTTTTGTTATGACAAACGTACAATATTAAACAATAAAAAAATATGCACAAAATAAAATTGTTAGTAATTTTTTTTTAAAGTTAACATTTCCAAAAGAAAACCAACATTAAGAACGATACTGTCGCTGATAACCCACATGCTTATATATTTATTTCCATTATGGAACTCAACTTCGCAAATCATGCAAAGCCACTGGGGCCCCCTTTCGATCACCGCCATCCCCTTCACTTGTCAGCCCTGCCTTTGCCCTCCTCTTCGCCCTCGTGGCCTCGGCAGTGCTCGCAGCCTTCATCCCACTCTCCGCCGTTGTCCCTCACGATCTCCACCTCGAGGCGGCCCACGTACAGCGTCACAGCCGTGAGCCACAAGACGGCCAGCATGAGGACCCCGACCGTGTTGAGCACCACGGCCGACGTCGACAGCATCATCGCGCGCCGCAGCACCGCTATGTTGGCCATGTGCGAGGCAGTGCCGTACGAGATGCAGAGCCCGCCCAGGATAAAAAACCCTGTGGAGGATGAAAACGCACTTCACATCTACGTCCGTGACAATTCACCGAGTGTTGACGGCCTGAAGATAATTTAAGTGAACCAGAAAACTTTTTGTGAAATGTCACCGTTTTCAAGTCTACCGAAAGACACCACAATCTTCCACACTTGTGCGCACACATTCGCCTAAATATACTCAGATGCACGCACTGACAAGTAAGCTCACTTACACTCACGTATATTTACGTACAGTAAATATACGTGAGTACATACATATACACATACCCATGGACAAATGCTTAAATATTAGGGGTGTAACAATAAATCGCTTCATCAATTAAAAGCAGTTTTTGTGCTCAAACTGCACGGATCGAATTGCATGTGTAAGGATCAACATTTTTTTAATACGTTCTACGTAATGGCTTCACATTACCCTTCATCCACTCGAGGCTAAAATGTAAAAATAATAGTTTTTATTATTCAAATCAACTGAAAATCATGAAATGCATCAACTTGCAAGAGGGGTGGGGGGTCGGGGGTAACGATTACAGGACAAATATATACAACTTGGGCGTACAGATGCTTAAATTATATATATATATCTATACAGGACTTATACTATAGACCAGCCATATGAAGTGAGTAGGTGCCTTTTTCATGCATCAAATAAAGGCATCTGCATGGACATCTAATTCATAGCAAAAAGTAAAATATTTCATTAAGTCTGGCTCAAATCCATGTCCATTTCATATGCAGTGATGTCTCTTCTTACATTATTGGTGTCCTGCCAAACCAGGTGATGACTATAACCTAGCCAAATAACACAAAGTGCTTCGTTTGTCTCCCTCAAGTGCCAATGAGTGGTTATCGGTGTTATCTACTGCCCTCTCTTCTGTTTCCATGAAGTTACCGGTCTTCCATACATAACCCACTTTCCTGGTTGTTTAATAATGTTACATTTTGATGGAGTGTAATTTAAACAACAGCATTGCACAAAGCTGCAACATCTGTAAATACACAGGCACAGAGATTAAAAAAAAAATTCTGCTAATAGATGAGTGTTTCTACATGTGGTTCAAAACTGGAGAACATGGTGAAAATCCACGCATGCAAAGGGGGGCAACATTCCATCCTGGGTGGATAGGGCAGATTATATCAGTCCACACTTTGCTGGACTGCTTTCTCCTGGAAAACCAGGGAATAGCACCCCGACACCCACGGGAAGGGAATTTCGTAACATGTGTGCAATCCACGTACCCTCGCCTTTATAGTGCTGGATTATAGGTGTTGCACCACCACCATGCCTAATGACTAACACGAAGTATTGCTGAGGTGGCGGGGTAGCTGTGCGAGCACCAATAAATACTTGGGTCAGAATCCAGGCACCCATCAGTAACTAAACTGGACTCTCAAGTTTAGTTGATGTTCTCAGCCAGGTCAACATGCCGGCACAAAAACACTTTCACGTAAAATTTAGTTCTGCACATAATTTGTGCAATTTTTTTAGCTCTGAGAATAAAAAAAAATATCAGTTTCACTCAACGATGAATGGATGAAAAAGTGTTGCCCCATAGTTTGCAGACCAGTGGTCACCTAAAAAGGGATTTCATAGATAGTTCTATGGCATTAAATTATGGTGAATTTTCTAAAATGGTAGTGTTGCACTGCTCTGCAAGATATCCAATTGAATACTAAGTTTCGTGATATAATGCGATAGTTTAATCGTAATAAAAATGGGGAGAAATACTGAAATATCAAAGGAGAGAATGCATTGCTGGAACTGACGAAGAACACTTACCATAGGCAGCCTCCCTCCCCATGTCGCTTTGCACAAAGGCGATTATTCCAATGCCAGTGGCTAAAAGACCATTCCTCAGCCAAGACAGGTACCCTGATAGGAAAGGTATAAAGTTAACATACAAAAATTTCAAACAATAATGGTGTAAAGTAATCTACTGTAGTAGCAATGAAATACATTATAATGTACATAAACTCGTGACTCACATCAATATCGGTAAAACTAATCAAATAAATGTAGGGAAAAAGTTAAAATTATTTTCCAGGTGTGTCTTTTATTAACATTGGCTTTTCTTTTTTCGTATGTTACTTGGTTTGCCAACAACACGTAAAAAATATAAAGTAGCACAGTATCTGATGCATTACACATTCAACAATATATACTTTTAAGTCATATAATGAGTAAGCTTAAGAGCCTTACCAGTTTCCTGTGCTTTCCTCATCATCTGCAAGACATTAGATGTTTCGGAATGTGTAAATGTAATGATATGTGGAGTTTCAGTGCAATTACATCCATATTCAGCATGTGCCTCATCATAAAAATTCTGACTTTAATTTAATGCAGGATTAATCCGTTAAATGACGCAATCTGTATTTTTCCACTTGTGTAACATTGAATTATGCATTTTATAAATCACATTTGTGGTTCATCTGGAATGCACTTTATCTTATTTTGGGCACATACAATAAAGGCCAGTGGATTCCCACTCAAACGAACAGTGCTCACTTTTTTCCCCATTTACAGCCCTAAGCCAGTGGTTGACATTTAAAAATCCTATGGCAGGGGTAGATTGATCCATAAGGTAACCACCGATGACTTCTCACACAGTGCTACTCATTTTAAAGTATTGCCCCGAGGTGTCGAGTTCAAGTTCCACGCGGAGATTAATGCAGAACGTCATTCTTTCAAAGTCGATCAAATAAGTGTAGCACATTGAGGGAAGTCAACAGTTGTTCAACACATTTCCTGCTCTGTATTCAACATGGGCTGTAACCCACCATATTTGAGATTTCTTTTTTTAAAAACAACAATGTATCATAAACGCACAAGAACAAGTGAAATAACTCACCAGTTCGTCATTCACACTGCTTTATAAAATAAACAGTGTCCTTAAACAGGCTGACGTTTTAGGCAATGACTCTTTTTCAGAGCAGAAACAATTGGTGATGCCATTTAACATAGTGGTGCCCTGAGAACACTAGGAGATTGTTATAAAGTTTAAAATTTACACTTTGAATTTACTTTGAAGAGCTTTCTTTACTTTATGCCAGAACCCATAGCACACATTGTTGAAACTACCTATGAAATTGTTGATAAAGGCTCTGACCGTGCTTTCACATTAATCATCCAACACTGACGAGTCTCTCGCCCAAATGATGATTCCACCAGAGCATGACACAAATATATTTTACCCCAACACCACTGAGCATGAATTCAGGAGCTAACCATGCCCTTGTGAATCCAGAGCATCAATCATGCTCTCCCAATCTTCAACGACCACTCCTCACCAGTCTCTCATGGACACAAATGACGGCGAGCCACTCGACCATTAAACAATTAAAAGCCCCGCTAATCGACAGACATGATCGATCTATATTCCTAGCTCTTTCGGTAAAGTCACGTTGAAGGGAAACAATAAAATAATAGAATATATATAAAAAACAATAAAAATTCTCACGACACCTGATGATGACCGTTTGCGTTATGGTCGAAACGTCGTGAGAATTAATTGTTTTTATAAATATATTTTATTATTTTATTGTTTCCCTTCAACGTGACTTTACCGAAAGAGCTAAGAATATTAACTACTGCAGTCACGAAAGCTTTAAATCAAAATTTATGATCGATCTACTCGATCATGCCGTTCCATATCTTCAACCAACACTGTCTCAGTCTCTCACTCAGAACAGCAAAGCTGCTTCTGCTGCTGATGATGATACTAGACCATGACGAAAAAGACCCCCAACACCAAAAAAATATATACACAAAGCGGAAAAGAGAAAGCAAAGATATTCATACATTTATTTCAACAAAGATATGGAGCTCAAAATCCACCCCCCACCACCTCTTACCCATGCGTCTGCCCGGTCCAGCTCGCTGCTGCCCCGCGCCTCTGTCCTCTGCCCAGGGCTGGCTCCCTGCTGTCCGGGTCCATCCCCTTGCCCCTGCAGGGTTCGCCTGGCCCCGTAGTGCATCCCCGTGTGGAGCCCCCGGCTCTCCCTGCGGGGTCCGACCGCCGGTAGCGCCACCATGGCTTGGATAGGGTCACCCCGAACAGGGCCTGCGGTGAAGCCGACGTACGGGCCGAGTCCGCCCCGGCCTTGCCTAGGAACCCTACCGAGATCGGGCCACCGTACCCGGCAGGAAACCCTTACAGACGCAAGGTGGCCACGGACGCCGGGCTCCCGGTCTTGTCTAGAAACCCTTCCGAGGACGCTCAACAACCATCCCCGGCATGACTCTGTAGCGGATAACGGCCTCGTACCTAGAGTGAACCCCCCGCCTTGCCTGTAAATCCCAGCGAGGACGGGCAGCCAAGACGTGCTATGTGCGCCAGTTTCAACACCCATCCCGGTCCCCCTTTCTTGCATAGAAACCCTACCGAGGACGGGCCACCATCCCGGGCAGATCTCCCCGGCAGGACGGGGTGGTCCGGGTCCGCCGCCCCGCGTCCCGGCGATCACGCGTCTCAAGGCCGCGGGGAGACGCGGCATTGCCAGCCTCGTGGACATCTCTTTATGTCCCTCTCTCTCTGTCCCACTGGCTATGTGTCCTTCTGTCGGTATGTGTGTATGTTTGTGTCTCCGTCAGTCTCTCTGTCCGTGTGTTGCGTCTGTTTGCCTGGCCACAGTGTGGCGATATTTATCGCAGCGAAGACCTTTCACCGTTGTGTTTTGACCCGGGTTTTCCGGCGGGTTCTGACGTCTCCAAATCTATTCATTTTTTATATTTCCACGACTCGTAACGTCTCTTCTTCCCTCCAGCCAGCAAAACTTTAAAATAGATATAACGTGCAAAATTCCAGCAAAATTTTAAAATATATAACGTGCAAAATACCTATCGTCGTTCACATGCGGAGTCTCAAAGCTGCCCCCCCCAGAATACATTCGTATGTTTGACTAATTATTTCCATGGATTCTTGCCACGGAAAGTTTTAATATTATCTTTGCAGCAGCTTTTTTATTTTTCAAGTTATATGGGGTGTTTTTGGTTCGTAATTATTTATGTAGTGTCATTTGTTCATATTATTCCTTCAATGTCTTTTCGTGCAAGTAATTGCCAGTCTTTCTGGTGGAATTTTAAACATGAATTCACTTCACTTTCGTCATTTTGTCATCATCATCCAGCAGTGGATTGAAAAGGGGCTCCACGTAATTATCATGGTTATTTAATAAATTACTCCCGTGCAGAATTCTAAACGTCACAGTGTTACACGGTTGCGGTTTAATTTCGTGGAAGAGTTCATTCTTAAAACTTATTTGACTGGGCCATCCCTTTTGACGCAGCGGTCGATGCGCAATTAACCGGGAGCCCCTGAATTCTTGCAGCGTGGCAATTCGCGACATTAACAAAGCGGTTTCGGTCACCGTGTGTACATTATCCTCGTCTGTTCACAAACTCGACAACACCGTGGGGCTGCTGCTGGTGGTGGTTGGTGGTGGTAGTTGGTGGTGGTGGTAGTGGTGGGGGTCACGACGTATTCATTGCGCACAGACACAGGACATTTCGCACGCGGACACCACATGTCTTGCTCTTAACGCATTTTAATTATATCGACCCGGCAGCGGGAGCTTCGTCGCAAAGCCGCAACTCCCACACGAGGTCACCCAAACACGCCCCTACGAGTTGCAGTCCCAACCCCGTCTCACTAACACGGCCAATCAAAACGATCGTCCTCGCTGGTGTGGGAGGAGTTTGGTGGTGAGGGGGGGAAGTAGGCGAGGTGGGGTGGGGGGGGCTAGGGGACATTTAACTTTTTTGAATTACAGCCCTGGCACATTGAACAAATACGCAACGCACGTTTCACACGTGTCCCAGGCAGGTAAGCGAGTGTGCTTGTAACATTGTGGATTAGCTTACACGCGTCCGAGTTATTGTGTGTGTGTGTCTTAGTTTTGAACTCGGTGCGACTTGCAACGGCGCTTTCAGAAGTTAAAACATTTGCGACGGGGTTTAACGTTCATAGTTCATGGTTCATTTATTTGGTATAGCCCCCGTGAGCCATTCGGCGCTTGAATCGGGTGCAACCGCAACAAACAAAACATGAACAAGTACAAAACATGAACAAGTAAGCATTGTTATACCGTATTGTAATCGACAGTGACTGCTGGCACCTTCAAAGAAAGCCATGTGTATTGCATATATAACGTGATAACAGTGGTGGAATGCTGCAACTTGCGCTGTGAACTCGGCTACCCTGCATCCGATCGTCGCCTACGGCTGTAACATCGGTGGCGAGTGATGTCGGATCTTGCCCTCGCTTCCCACCTCTGACGAAAGTGGTGAAGTATGGTCACGCTACGCCAATAACCACATCGACGTAGAGCCTACCTCGTGTGCTGGGATAAAAACAAAAAGATTTAGCACTTTATTCGGAACTAGTTCATTATAAAGGACCGCACTTGTGGCCTCATACTTTTTGCTAGATACATTATAATATATGTGGACTATGTGTATATACTGTAGCACCAGTTGGTAACTGATGTGCCTAAATCGGACTGGTATATTTGTGTTCTATATTGATATTTAAATGCTATTATGTGTGTATACCGTGCTGCAATAAGTATCACGTTAGTATTGTACTATAGTCCGCATGCTGACACTTTACAATTGCGAATTGTATCCGTTAATTGTTTTGGTCATGTTAAAAAAAAAATCACCAGCTTGTTTAGACTCCCAAACGCCGCTTTGTTGCGAGACAGATCGGCAAACGACAAGTGGGTTCGTGAACCCATCTGTGCGGAAACTTTCATTGTCATCATCGCCTTGTTGTGTGCGTGGTGTTTTTTTTATGCGGGTACCCGGGTTTTGCTCTCACACGAAGCCAAATACAAATTAAAACATGACGTCGGCCAAACATCCCAACAACCGTAAAGCAGCATCCCAACGTTGGCATGACGTTGGAGGCGTTGTTGCTACCACCAACTTTAACTCGACAATGGCCCAACTTCTCCATGTTTGTTGAGAGCGGGAGACTCCTGGGAAAAGTGTTGAGACTCGGTTGAGGCTTTCCTCGATCATTATTTGAAATGCACAACTGCCCCCAAAGTTGTGCAGACCTGTTTTGCAGCCACTAAAAATTAAACTAATTAAAAACAAAGTCATGCACGCAACTGTTGGTCAAACATTGCATTGACCCGTACACCTTTTACTCTATTCTGGTACAGTACTGAATAGTGCACCGTTGCTGCTGATTGATATTTTTAGGCATAGTGACAATATACAGGTAATATTTGCAAATATACTAACTTCAGATCTTTGGCAATCCACTGCTGGATGAAGGCCTTGTCACGCTGTGCTGGTTGTGGGAGATTGTCACCATATTTCACTGACACTGGGCACATTAATTGATTAAAATATGCTGAAGTGGTATCTTCAGGATACATTTCAGACGCACCTTGCTAAATGCTCTTTAGTCTATTGAATTACACATCTGAAGTGGTATCGTCCCTTGCCACAGTCGTCATATGTAAAATTAAACCACTTAATGCGCTTTATGCAACAAGATGCTGAATTCCATTCGGTCTAAATAGCAAGACATCCGCTTCCAGTCTAAATGTATGAAGATATTTTTATTTTTCTCACGCAAGTGTTCTATCTACAGGAATATAATGTATTCACTTCCCCCAGTGATTGCGTGAATTATCACAATTTTGGGGTCACGATTCGAAGGATTGGTTGATTGTATTCTCGTTTTGGCCAGCTTGTTTGTAATGTTTCTTGATTCTCCCCCAATCTTGTTTGGACCAATTTATATTGCTCCATTTGCCGCAATGTAACATTTGCAAATGGTTTGCATAAATCATTATCAATTGACACGTTGTAATGCATGTATTTCAAGTGTAAATGTAATATATGCATTATTGCATGTTAGGCTTTACTGTAATATTGCATCACTTTGATACCAAGGAAATTCCACAACATTTGAAAATCATCCCACAAATACGCAATGTGTGTTATTTTGAGAGTAATTATAGTTTTAGAAAACATGGATTTTAAGGAATAATGCAATAGTGTGACGCATACATGGAACTGAATGCACCATCTCAGCGTGGATGAAAAAGTGTCCGTCTGAGTATCTCTGACACAATTGGATTTATGATTACAGTACTGTACATTATTTCTCCCTTGTAAAAAAAACGCGGGCACATATCTATCTCAATTACAATCCCAATTCATCGGCATACTAATTCCCGAGCTAAAAAAACAAGCTTCAAATATTACTTACGATAACCCCATATCTTTATAGCGTCTGAAATCTACATCCAAAAATTCCTGCGATTCTCCTCCAGTGATTGAGGAGGCCCGTGAAGGAGGACCCTGGAGCAGAGACGATGGCCACCCCACTCACAGACCAGGAGCGACGCAAGCAGATCAGCGTGCGGGGGATCGTGGAGGTGGAGAACGTAGGGGAGGTGAAGCGGAATTTCAACCGCCACCTGCACTTCACGCTGGTGAAGGATCGCAACGTTGCCACCCCCAGGGACTACTACTTTGCCCTCGCCCACTCCGTGCGGGACCTGCTGGTCGGGCGATGGATCCGCACGCAGCAGTACTACCACGAGAAGGACCCCAAGGTGAGGCAAGGAGGACGCAACAGCCATTCATTCATTCGGTCGCTCGCTCGTTCAGTCACCCGTTTTCTCAGATGTGAGAATGACATCAAGGGACGGGAAGAGTCGTGGGGTAGAAATCACAACCTATGTATTCATTCATCATTTACACAATTGACCATTTGGTTTGGTAGAGTTTAATGGAATCTCCTACTACAACAATTACACCAAGGTGAGAGAAGAGTGACGTATGATTGTAGAATGCACAAACATGCATTTCACTAGTTCATTCGTGTAAAACCGTTCATTTGTACATGTGATTTGACAATAAGGTGTGGGAAGAGATGTGATGCAAGATGCACATAAATTACAAGATGCACATGATGGACGTGGTGCAAGATGGACACCCATTAATACTTTTAATAATTCATTTATTTGATAAAATCTCATTTAATAGCTTATCTATAGAATGGCACCAAGGTAAGTAGAATATATGTGGGACAAGGTGGATACTTATTCATTAATTCACTCATTCATTTGTTCAAGTCATATTTATACTTTTTATTATGAAAATTACACCAAGGCAAGGAAAGGGAAACCTGGTGTGTGAGGGATGCGCACCTGTTCATTAACAATTTGATGTGATATTTTATTATGAAAGGTGAAAATGCATGGGCCAGATGCACTCTTCATTCAGTTGTCCGTATTTTAAGTCTGTTTGAAAAATACTTCAAAGACCTTGAGGTAGGAGAGGAAGCATCGTACAGAATACACACTCATCCGATTGTTCATTCATCTTTTATTTCATTTCTCTACATCACTCATCTGTCCTTGAACATAACATCCCTTTTTTTTTCTTGGCCTCCCTTGCAAAATAAGGCAAGTTCTCTCAAGGGGCCCTTACCTGCAACCGGACAAATCTGTTCTTCCGACAGGACAAAGGCTCTGCTCACTCTCGAGATGTATGGTTGTGTTAGGCTACATTAAGCAGACCTGAGTTACTGAACAATAGTCCATTGTGAATTGCAAATGAAATAAAAGTCACCGTGACAAATGCCAGCGGTACAGCGAAATGAAACGCTGAAAAAAAGGGGGCTGTCACCCGAAAAGTTCGCCACATCAATTCTGCCCCCAGTTTAATTGATGAGCGTATTTGCTCCTGCAGCTTACTAATTGACGTCGGAGGCACGTGTGCTTGGGCACGCCTGTCGTATTTTATCACAGCGCTCACACCTTTGTCGCGAAGTCGCTTTCCTAAAAGGTAGGGCACATTTTTATCAATCAAGGGTTTCCACTTCATTGTGTTTTACAATATATGGCGCATAGAGCATCTGCTTATTTATTCTCCCACGAATACTGAAATAAAAACCTCCGTTCATCCATAACACCGTGACTTTAAAATGAAGAATATACATGTTGTGACGCTTCAAAGTGGCCCTTCTTCATAGGACATTGAAGAAGGGTTGTAGGCTGAAGTGTCGCCTATAATATATAGTATTTCCTTTTTAAGGCAGTGTTATTGATGGACCTGAGTTCTCGATTGTTATTTGCACTTGTGCACCACTATCAAATTGGCAGCAGAAGCATCGCCAAATAAATCGTTTAAGACTGAAATAATAGCAGTGCAGTTACTTCTTGCGTTCAGCCAGTTGCACTTTGTCATCAAGTGTGTAGCCTACAGGTGTATAGAAGTGCCCTGGCATGGACACCACCACCACTCACACATTGGACGTTTATTTTAAGGCAGTATTTTTCATAATACCACATGTACAAAGTTTAATCGTTATTCACAAAGTAAAACACATTAACTTGGAATAAATAAAAATATCTCCCGTTTATATTCAAATAAACTGAATAACCGACATTATCCCAAAACTGAATCGCACCTTTCTTCACACTGGCGTCGTGTATGATGATGAATGCATTTCTTTTTATCCAATCCATCAAGTGTATCTTTATTCCAACTTTAAAATTATCCCCTGCATATTAGATGCAATTTCTGTGTTCGACAAAACGTTAAAAGGAATAGACGTGTACATGTGTATCCTGCTTTTGGAAGGTCGTGTACATTTTTATCTGTCCTATCAATGTTCCGAATAACTTTCTTATTTAATTCGCATTAATGGCACGTACTTTAATTAAAAAGTGAATTGCAAAACCCTGCGGTAATTGCATAGAAAAATAAATAAATCCTAAATCATATATCCACGGCTTTTACACCCACAGTATTAGCTACTGTGAATACTCACGATGCATTACATGTGTTTACTATCCTGCACATCAGATGGCAACATGCAGATTACAAACATGTTTTTAGGGCAATAAATACCAGTGTAGTATTCATGTACAGATTCAACGTGTTGTTGGCTTTGTTGTATTCCAATGATTTCAGTGAGCTGCAGACCCAGACATTGTTAAAGCCATTAGCCATATGGAATGTTTCGGGTGAGTTCTGTGAGCATGATTTTAAATCAAATCATTGGGAGACTGGTGGAGGGGGTGGAGGGAGGAGGTGGTGTGCATATTTTTTAGTGGCTGAAAACCCAAAGTCAAAACTACTGTACCCCCATCCATTGCAGGATTTTTTTTCTGCAAGGTGTGGCCCTGGTGGTGGGGGATGTGATGAAACACTTTACTCTCAATTGACGTGCGTATGAAAATACAGTTCCGTTCATCGCTCTCGTGCATCGAGCCTACATTCTCTTTAAAGAAATGTTCTGCCTTTGAATGGATACAAAGAAACAAAAATATTTGAATGCCCGTGCAGATGCCTCGAATGTGCGTTCGCTCAAGAAGCCAATCGTGGCGGAGTACCGTAAAGATTCATCATTCTCTCTGATGTTGAAATACGGTACTCTTTGAGTGTGCCCTCCCATCGTCCAGCCTTTGTTTTGACTGTAAACAACTAAACAATCAATCCCATTCACGATTCACGAGTGCGTGGAGCGGACTCCCAAATTATCTTCGAATATGAAACTCGAGGCAATGAATGGACGCCCAGTGTCCTCGTTTTTTTCGCGCAATCAGTCCAATTAACACTCGCCTCGCTGCTACTCAGGGGGTGGGGTGGGAACATAACCGCGAGAGACGGCGAAGTTCGCGCTTGGCTGAGTGACCTTGAATGTAATTTATCCTGGGCGGTAAGGTCAAAGGTTACACAATAGGCATGTGCGCTGTGTGCAAAATAGCTTAAGGGGGAACCGGTGAGGGGAGGGGACAAGGTTGTCCCAAAGTTGCATTTGAATGTGTTCATTAAACACAACGGAAGCTTGCGACGCACGCTTCCCAATATTTCACTGCCAATAATTATTTAGGTGGCTGTCATTTTTGATGAAAATGCTTCCCTTGTCATATTCCGAATAATCCCTGTATTTACAAGCCAAGTTGGAGAACCAACTGAAGCTGTATGGTAAATCTGTTTTGTGTGGGAAGATCTGGATAGAGAAAAAAAAACTAATTTGATCACATTTTACAAATTCAATGTGTGGAATATCCATGCACCATTTAAACACGCACATTCCATGGACCTCCATTGCAATTTATATAACTTTTTTTCTCACACATGCAAAATTATTTTGTATTTGCACCGCATACGATGTATATATAGACATCAATACGCAATGCAGTCTTCCCACTGAAGATTGTATTGTATCTGTGGATATGGATAATGGTCTTCGTACAGTACTTTAATTCGCTTTCATAGCTCAACATCTTATCGTGTACAACGTCATCGTTATCAGCCGTGATTTATCCATTGCCGGACAGAGAGCCTCCCCAAAGCCTTCTCCATCCCTCTGGGTCTCCCGATGGGCACAATCCATAGATCTCCTGCCCGTGAGCTTATTTCCCTGATGAAATCAGAGTACCAGGCGACTGAGAAGCGTTGAGGAAAATAGATGTGACCATACTTCACCACGCTTGTCAGTGGGTGGCTGGGTGAACTTGCTTCCCCAATATGGGTGTGCACTACTCATACCCACGTGACCTCCAACTTCTGGTTGGTGGGGGGGTCAATATGAAGTTAGTTTGCATCTTATGTTTACTGCAGTGATTCTAAACCATTTTAGTCTGGCTTGTCCCTGCGCTCTTACTAAGTCTCCAGTACACAGAGAGATTACATAGTCACACACCTCGTTATCACCATTAACTCGGAGCGTTAGTAAGGCACTTCTCCTGCACGGTCTACAGGCCTGGAGCCTGCACTCCCCACTGAAAGGCTTTCGCCCTCCCCCCACCCATCCAGTCCCACCGTCAGGGTGACGCGCGGGACACTGCTTACCTTCTGTGTACAGATAGCAAATGAGGGATGCTGTGTGAACAACTGAAAGTGTCCCTTATTTGACTCATTCGTTGAAAAAGCGATCACTTGGCCACTCACTAGAGTTGTGCAATGGTAATGGGCTTCATGGGTAGGTTACCACAACTGCACCTTCACCACTGCCAAACGCAGGGTGTGGCAGCAGGCACCCCTGGTCGTGTGTCGGCGTGTTCACATTTTTTTGTCTCTCTGTTCTCCCCCCTGAAGTAATAAACTATAGAGCAGAGGTGCAGCGATGCATTAAGACATAAATTGTTTTTAAGGCCACAATACATGCAATCGAATTGCAATGTGTTAGGATCGACATTACGTTTTTTTTGTTACTTTGTTTACATTATATTCAATAGGTAAAAAAACGAAAACTGTTTTTATTTTAAAAAGCAAACTTTTATTTTACCAGCTAAAGCCCACTGAGCTCTATGCCTCTTTTTCAGAAGCGACCGGGCCAGACATTATAGCGAAGTGGCTTAACAAATGGAAATTTATAACAGCCAAATACTCAAAGCGCGTGTGTCTAATGTGGAGGGAAAAACCAGAGGACCCGGAGAAAAATCCACGCGACCATGGGGAAAACACGCAAACTCCAAATATCCAGGCGTCAGGATCTGGATCGAACCCACGACCTCCTGATACCAGGCGAGGTAGTTAACATCTCACCGCCGCTGCAGCCACCAAAGGCAGTGTTCAATAAAAATCAAACCTTGACACTCGGTTGAGGAATGCATGAGGACACCTCTCATTGGTGCGACCACTATTGCCAAGGGGCTCATCACACCACATATCACGCTCGGAGTTCGTGGACTCTCCTGCAGCCGCGGAGTTAAATATCTCGTCGTTGAATGATTATTGACAAAATATAATGGTGCTCTAAGAAGAGCAAAAGGAAGGGGGAAATAAATAGGGTGGTATAAAACCAGTGAGGCGCAGCGTCCGTGGGGAGCTGGCAGCTGAGTGTTGCAATTGATTGACACGTTTCCGTCCTGTACGTCAATAAAACTTTAGTCTTTTTTTATTTTAGCAATGGACGTGTTGAATTTTTACAGCCGTCTCTCTTTCCGCTGCATGAATATAAATCTCGAAAATTACAGTCCCGTATGTATGAGTAAAAGCCAGGCGTATTGTAAGTATGGTTCGCCTGTTGAATTGCTACCTTTAAAACGCTTCACAGTTCTGAATTGCGTCGGTTAATCGTTTTGGCAGTACGATCCAGACCATTGCAGCAAAAGAGTTGGTGGATCATGCAGAGATTTGCGAAACTCCCAAATCTCATGGGTTGCAAGGCGGCTTGGAGAAGGCAGTGCAGAACACGTGTTGTGAGCCCATCTGTGGAGGTTATTATCGAGTGTTTAGCCCCCTTCTATCGTTTTTTTGTTAGCTACTCCGGTTTGCTCCTGAACATTAAAAACACTCGCAAATGGAATTGTACAAAGAATCCCGATGGAGTACCCTCCCAAAAAAAGGCCGAGCGCAGCATGCTGTCCACTGCATCATTGCCTCCCCCCTCCTCTAAAAACTTACTCTTCTGCAATTAGCATACATAGCATGGTACTGTATTTGTATGTCGGAAGATAAACTTTAACCAAGTGAAAGTGTGTTGAGAAATGCACGTTTCTTTTGCCAGAGAGAGCCGGGGTGAGCGATTTAAAGGAAGACTACAGATGCGAAGAGCAGCACTGCTGTCCCACTTTACACTTCGAGGCAAACGATGCCGTAACAGTGCAGCGTGGATTTGCGTCGCGTTAAAATGCCAGCGCAGTCTCAAGGACCCGTACAAAAAAGCGGGGCGTGCACGTTAGAGGGGACGACAGGCGATTTCTATTTTTTAAAGCAAGGTGCCGTGGCGTGGAGGAGCAGGCGCGTGCATGCGTACGTGCGTGCGTGCGCGACTACGCTTGCGCTGCAGGACTAGCGGGTGTCATCTCTGCAGGTACACCTCTCCCCCTTGTTTTTATTCAGCGGTCGCGTTTGGTTACCGCCGCGGACCGACAAGCGCGATGACCCGCCCCTTGCCTCCGAGGAGAGGCTTTCGGATGTTCCGCGCACGTGACCATGCTGCTCGAGTGCCCTCTGCGCGACATTGCGCAAAGCCACTGAAAATTCGCACGTGGTCGTCGTCGTAAAGTCACCCTCCTCATGACGACAGCGCGGTTGACCCGACCTCGTCAATCAGCGACATTTCGGGCACTTGGCCTGCTATGAATGCGGTTGCACACGGGAACATTGCGTTCCTTCCCGACCGAACGGACTACAGAACGGCCTCGATGCATATTAATTCGCGGTAATATATTTTTTTCTGTAATTGTACCAAGCTCCCGCGATACCGTAATATGCCCCCATCGGATCGTTAACAGAAAATTTAGAAACGAACGTGTGATACCTTGTTTTTTTTTTTTAATGCCGTAATGGATTATGTCATAGCACCGGGTATCAATCATAACACCAGGCAGTTAGGGAGGAGTTTTATGAAAGGGTCCCCGCTCTCTGGTTATCAACGACACAGAGACCTTGTCTTCTGCATTTGCGGGGCAAATGTGCGCGCCCAGCCAATGCATTTGGAGTGAAGGATGAACACCCCCCCCCCCCCCCATAAGAAAAAACAGACGAATCATGGCTCGTAAATTAAGTACACGTGTCAACAATGCTCATGTTTCCAGGCCGCGTTGGTAAATCTAATCCCACTCAAATGCACACCCGTATCTTGTGTGGGTTTTTGTTGTTGTAATATACCCTTTTGAGCGGGAGGGCGGCCCTGGGTTCATGGCTGGTTTTCATTTTGAAAAGGTGCAATGTTACTCGGGAAAACCCCGCACCACTCTGAAAGACGTTGCAAGCAAAATGTGACTTTCTTATTAACGTACGCGTGTATGCATGTTGAACTTCTTTTTCACCGTACATAGCCAACTGTGCTAATCAGAGGAGCGGGAGAAGGATAAGAAACTAAATTAAAAAAGCAGTTCTTAAGAAATTAGTTTTCAACTTAGAAACATTTGAACGCATAAATGCAAATCTCATCTCCAGATGTTGCTTTGTTGTCACCAGTTAAAATGACAGCTTAGCATTTTAATATGTTAATCTTTAATATTTTATTATCGTCATACACGTTCTGTTCACTGCTGATTGTCGTTCCTGCCCGAGCAATCGCCACTTCTCTCATGGTGTTGTGACGCAGCAATCTAACTAGCCCCTGCACAGGGGCCAATTTTTTTGCTCCATCTCCACAGAAGGCGTGTCCTGTCCTTTGGCTGCCACTCCATTGTTAGTCTCGACCGCAGGCCATCGTCGCTTCTAAAAATGTGACCTACCCAAGCCCACTTATCATTGCCATCACTGTGATATTCTAACCTGCATTTGTTCTGTGATCCATTGCAAAACCATGACAGTTGGTGATGGCTTAGGGAGGCCTTCATCCAACAGTGGATTTGATGATGATGAAAATATCTCCAATCAGCTTTGTTTTCTGCTCACAATAAACATCAGTTGTTTCATATGATATCCAGCACTTCTTACCACGTAGGCTCTCAAGGTTGTGCTGCCGCACGTTTCTCCGATGCATTTTTCCCGGTCGTACCTCGTGCTGTTTGGCACGATGTCCGACGTTTCGCTACACGCGCCGGGACCTTCGATTCCTCCCGGCGCGTGGTAGTGACAAACGCATCGAAGGGTTGTTGTTGTTTTTTTTTACCTCTTTCTGTTTCCGCACGTGATGTACTGCTGCACGTGGCCAACTGGGAACGCCGAGCAACGTGCGCCGTAAACTCTGACGCCAAATGGTTCGTTTTTAATGTGTGGCCCATTACCGGAAGAGTTCAACAGTCTTTCACGTACGGTTTAAAATTGGCCTTCCAAATTGATCTGCTCGTTAGGTGCCACTGGACATCGTTGTGCCATGATGGCAAATCAGGTGTGCTTAAATCTGACATTAGCAGGAGCCTAATTTGCAAATTGTCCTGATCCAAAACTTGCTCGCATGGATGTAAAATAACCGATCAAATGTAATGACAGTAGTAATAACAAGGGTATGTATTTATCTGGGAAAGCCTCACAAGATCTTTTCAGAAAGGTCCTGCTTCAGCATTATTTTGCCATGATGGTGGTTTTAAAATTGGCAATTTGCACATGGGAAGAAATATATGCATGTGTGTATGTTGAACTTCTTTCGCACCGTATATAGCCAACCGTGGTCATCGGAGGTGCGGTGGAAGGACAATGAAACTAAACACAAAAAAACTGTTCTAAAGAAATGAGCTTTCAATTTAGCTAAATGAGTGTTTAACTTAGAATCGGACGGAAAGAAGGAAAATCCACCACGCATTCAATGGGATAGCATCAAAATATCCACACGCACAGGTCTACAAACTCTGTTTTGGTACTGCCATCACCTGGTTAGAACACGCTGGGTTTTGGAGTTTCACAAACCTCCATGTGACCCACCAACCCTTGCCTCCTTAAACTGTTGGGTTGCAAGCGCGGCGCACGACCGTGACCACGCGCGTCGCAATCAAAACGGTCGATCGTTCGGACGACGACGGGGAAAGGCCATCGCTGGCGGTGACGTGCTCGTTGATGGACCGCTGCTCTCTCCTCCCCCCGCACGCAGCGCGTCTATTACCTGTCGCTGGAGTTCTACATGGGCCGCGCTCTGCAGAACACCATGGTGAACCTGGGCCTGGAGAACACGTGCGACGAGGCCATGTACCAGGTGCGGTGCACGACACGGGAGTTGAGGGAAGGAGGGAGTTGAAGGAGGGAGTTGAGGGAAGGAGGGAGTTGAGGGAGGGAGTTGAGGGAGGGAGTTGAAGGAGGGAGTTGAGGGAAGGAGGGAGTTGAAGGAGGGAGTTGAGGGAGGGAGTTGAGGGAGGGAGTTGAGGGAGGGAGTTGAGGGAGGGAGTTGAGGGAGGGAGGGAGTGAGTTGGGGAGAGTGAGTTGGGGGAGGGAGTTGGGGGAGGGAGGGAGTAAGTTGAGGGAGGGAATGTCGGCGGTGCACATTAGTCGGGTCATCGCGATCAACGGAGGCTATTTTCTGCCTACGTCCTCGCCACATCCACTCCGATGAAATCTGTAAATGACGAGACAATCCCCTCAAAACAGAAACTTCACCAGTCAGCCACGGGTTATTCGTTTTGCTGCTTCGCTCCGAGTGCAACTGTGAGACCATTGTTGAGATGGACAATGCCGTGGTATTTCAGGTATTCACTTGTTGTGTAACTGTTGATAGATTTTGTGTGAGGGTATGGACACGTACGGCCCCATTTTTTGTCAGTCCACTGCTGGATGAGGGCCTCCTCGTGTCGTGTGTGCTATTTGTGACCATACGGTCGGTCAGTGAGGGTTGGCCAAGGTGGAGAGCATAGACGTGGGAGCGTAGTTGTACGATACAACAGTGGAATTTTCTGCATCGCCCTCTGCTGCCGACAACGTAGCCTCAGACCTCTGACAACCTGTTTTAGCAGTTGCCCAACCAAGCCTTATCCAATCTCAAACCTGCTTAGCTTGCAAGATCCAATGAGATCGGGCTCCATCCCAATGATTTGGCCACAAGCATTAGAATATATCCAGTGATTATTTTATTCCTAGTTTTAAATAACCTCAGATTTGTTTATTAGTGTATTGATGTTTACGCTATAATGTAAATGAAATTTAAATGATTTTCATTTTTAAAATCTACCATCTTTGTTCACATTCGTTATTACAAATATTTGTATGTGTTCATCATTTTTTATGTACTTTGATGACACTTTTGATTTGGGGTGATGTGAGGAGCCTCCTTAATTGAGCGGTGTGTGTGTAAGCGACTGATATATGTGGGGTGTGTGTTGGGGGAAAGTGGTCAAGTGGTGCTTGCGGGCACCTATCATTACCTTTGTCTTTAATGTGTTGTGAAAGTTGTATGGGAAGTTCTGGTGCATCGCTTCACCCATTGCTTCACCAATTGTGCTGTAAACCTGGTTATCTTGGTTTGATTACTCGCCACGGCTAACATCCCAATAGATTCAGAAACTCACGATGGGTAAACATCAGCACTGGGGAGACAAAGGTGGCCGGGCGTGGTGCTAACCACACCCACTCCCTTGTTGCACCCTGCCAACCTTCATAGTGCTCGCTAGCAGCACTTGCCCCAACATCCTATGTAGGCAACACGGGGGATCTTTGTCATTTACTTTGCGGGTGTGACCGGTGTCCCTGGTTCTTGTGTCTCTTTGATCAGCTTGGCCTGGACATTGAGGAGCTGGAGGACTTGGAGGAGGATGCCGGGCTTGGAAATGGAGGTCTTGGTCGCCTTGCTGGTATGACTGTCTCCCAGTTTCCCTGTTGTGTTTTTAGAATAATAATAGTCAACTTGTAACGTGCTGCCGCCACACAGTATTCGTTCGCTGTTGAAGAGAGAGAATGACTCGGAGGTGCGAGGAACCACAGACAAGCTCCAACAATGGGCCCAAGCTCTGCAATCCTCTGTATGTTAAGGTGCTATCAGCCAATTAATGAGAGTTTACATGTTGGAGGAAACCCAGAGCACCAGGAGATAACACACTCGTGCGAGGGGACAACGCTGTACTGCCCTATCCAGGGAATGGGAGTTTCACAACATTGGTGCGATCCACCAGCGCTGGATTATAGGCCTAATTTTTTTTTATATGACCATTGTGCTTTCTTTGTCATGTCTTGAGATTTCCATTCAGAACGCTCGCAACTAGCAGTGCATGACCCTGTGTCAGAGAATGTCCCCCTGAAGATGACATCACGGAACTATATTCTTAGCTCTTTCGGTAAAGTCACGTCGAAGGGAAACAATAAAATAATAAAATAATACAATATATATAAAATAATACAAATTCTCACGACGTTTCGACCTTAACACAAACGGTCATCATCACGGAACTACTTCTTAAGTCCTTAAGAGGTCTCTATACCCGCACTTAGGGGCTCGCTCACCTTCATGTACTCCACAAAGAATGCGTGTGTCAATCAAACCAAAATTGTTCAGTCTCAGAGCCGGAATAAACCCAAATTAAGTGCAAAACAAATTGAGTACGATGGGAATTTTTTGTTGTTGTGTGTGCAGTTATTAGTGACCAAGCTGACCAGTATAATCTCGATCCTCTTGAGAACCCAGTTCTTGTCACAGGTGGCTAATACCCGCAGCTAACCACTCCACCACCGTTTCCCACAAGTGCTGTTAGCGAGCACCTTTAAAGACCTGCACGACACAAGAGGGGGTGGCTGGCCAGCACCACGCCCAGCCACATTTTTCTCCCAAGTGGCAATGTTTACACACCGCACACCTGGTACTCATTTTAGGCTGAGTCGACCTTGGGAAGCTCCAGGACCAGTTCAGATCATTGTCACTGGTGTTGGCCGGCAGCACGCTAACCACTGCACCACTATTCCTCACAACACAAAGACACACGTACGCATGTAAAATTAATTATTGTAGCACACAGCGTGCAATGTTGCACATTGCATGAGAAACCATCAGTCATTTAATTAACTCCGATTGATACAAACCCATGTGAGCATATTGGGAGAACAACAAAACGCAGCTCATTACTATCACATTAATTGATCCTTGCCGTATGAGATTGGAGTAGGGGGGGAAAGGCGAGCTGGACAGAGCTTGGCTGAGAATGAATGAAAGTGATTGCAAAAGAATTGTCCATGTTAGCCCATGCTTGCTTTGTGCATGCCTGTGGCCACAAGGAGTTAATCTGGTGCGAGCGAGCGAGTGACGCGCGCCTGTGTGTGTGTGTGCGCGGGTGCGTGAATAAGTTATGTCATGCCTGATACCATCATGTGGGTGCTTTCATGCAGCGGGCTGTCATTTATTTTGACGTAACAGCCTCATGAATAAGGCTTGCAAAAAAAATTCCCATTCTAAAAAAACAATATGCAAATAACTAGACATTTCTTACAAAGTCAAAAACAAAATTAACAGAAGAGAATGTTTTTATTTTTATGCTAAACAACAATGCTGCAACGTTGAGTTTACTAGACCTGCAATGCTGAGGTCGCAGGTTAAGTCTTCCTGCGCAGCAGTTGCAACGACGGTGCACGTTTCTTAAATTCCCCTGCCTCACTTGTGTTGGGGTAAAATGTGGGGACTGCCACCTCTCGCGAGGCATTTGGCCACCGTGGAAGAAGAGGCCAAATACCCTCCTAGAAGGGGGCCCCCTTCTCTCGCGCTCCCTCTAGAGGACGCTCTTCCGCCAGCAGTGGCGTGAGTGAGCAATCGCAGGGATGCTCCTTCATCCTTTATTATTATTATGCTAATCCACCTGAAATAAATTATAATTGGGGTGACCACACACAGTGCATACCACATACAGCAGAACGTCACGGTTTTAATAATGCATCGATTATTAAATTTAGTATCGGTTCTCTTAAGCTCACGATACCTCCCTCAGATAGCATATACAACAATGAAATGTGTTTTTAATTGGTCTGACTTGTATGCACTGAGTTGATCTGATCTCTGCAGTCACCAGAGGCCTGCTATATTCACTCTTTTATATATATAAATAAAGTGCCCGATTCACAACAATTCACCAGATCACATGGTGGGTAACAGTTAATCGTTAAACCACCACCATTCATGGAGCTCTGATTATTCCTCCCCCCCCCCCACCCCATCTTGCAACCTGGATGAGGGAGCAGCAACCGAAAGGAGGGAAAGACGGTTGAAGAGGCCATACCACTTGCAGAGATGGAGCAATGAGAGCAGTAGCTCACGTGTGTGAGAGCGAGGCGGATGGGGAGAGGCGACATCATGGGGGCGTCTTCATCTTGCAGTGGATAGACCACAGGGCTGCTGCTGCTGCTGATAATGACGACGATGACGACGATGACGACAATGATATTTACAATCGCATGTTCACGTCTGCTCCCCCCCCACTCCCCATTTGTGGCATTCCTCCGCAGCTTGCTTTTTGGACTCCATGGCCACCCTTGGTCTGGCAGCGTATGGGTATGGAATTCGCTACGAGTATGGCATCTTCAACCAGCGCATCAAGAACGGCTGGCAGGTCATTAATTAATGAATTCATTCATTAATATTCTATTCCTCGTGATGATGTGGACAGCCCCGAGGTGTCCGCCTGGCTCTGAGATCAGAACACCGAGCGGGCAAATGCCGTTTGAATTCAGGCTGCAGCCGCCCTGCTATTAAACCGGAATGAGTTGATGGGCTCAGCCCGGACGCCAAGCATGATTTTTTTTATTTAAAATTGGTTTTGCACCGAATTTGCCTAAATCCCAAATGAGAATTTAAAAATACCGGTGTGACTGGCATGCGACGGACGTCACCCCCGACAAGATAACCCTCGAGATTCACGGATGGGTTCAGTCCACAGATGGATTCAATCCAGCGAGTGGACCAAAATCTATCCGTGGACCCCCCCCCCCCCCCACGATCCACTTCTTGTACTGCCATCACCATTGTAAATCATTTTATTTGTTTGCGCTTTCGTCATTTTTTAGTGGCCCACGTCGCTCTTGCAAATGAGACCCATCCTGGTTTTGCGTCGAATCCTCGCCCGGCTGAAGGCAGGGTGAATTTTGACTTTTCTCTGCGACCAGGTGGAGGAGGCTGACGATTGGCTGCGCTTTGGGAACCCCTGGGAGAAGGCCCGGCCCGAGTACATGCTGCCCATCCACTTCTACGGCCGCGTGGTGCGCACCCCCGACGGGCCCAAGTGGGTGGACACGCAGGTACCGTGCTCGCACATTTGTGCGTGTGTATATATATATGCGTATATATTGCGGGGAGTGGTGTTGTAGCGGTTGGTGCGCTGCACTACGAACCCGGCGACCCGAGTTCGATTCCCGCTCAAGGCAAACACCAGTGACGATTATCTGAACTGGTCCTGGGCCTCCCCTAGGTCGACTCAGCCTCAAATCAGTACCTGGTGTGGTGTGTAAAACATCACCACTGGGGAGACAAAGGCGGCCAGGAGTGGCGTTGGCCACCCACCCCCTCTTGTGCCGTTCTGGCCTTCATAGGTGCTCGCTTAACAGCACATGCCCAAACAGTTTGTTACAGGTTATATGGGGGATCTTTCTCTTTGTATGTGTGTACATATATATAGTGGGGAGCGGTAGTCGTAGCGGTTAGCGCGCGCTGCATTATGAACCCGTCGACCCGAGTTCGTTTCCTGCTCACGGTTCTGGCCTTCGCCTCGGGCGAGTCGGCCTCAACAGGATCTCTCTGGGCAGAGCAAGGTGTTATGGGTTAACTGAGATGACTGGCAGATGCACCACCTGTGCCCCCCCCCCCCCCCCACTGTGTCAACTGACATGTAAGCACATGCTACGGGCATGCTCACACGAACATATACGTACATATGTAGTGGATTAACACGCGCATACAGGGGGGAATGGTAAAGACGTTATGGACAGTGGGGTTACGTCGGGCCGGCCAGGTGTGGCGGCGGTAAACTGTGCGGTAATGACGGGCCAATTGGAGAGCGATGCACGGCTGTGATTGGCTGGGGTTGTTGTCAAGGGCGGAGTGGCGCCTGAATGTCTGGGGATAGAGGGGGGCAAGTAACAGGCGCGCGGCCTAATTAATTGGTTGGTAATGAGAACGGGGATATATTCGGGAGACGGGAAGAACGAGTTGAGTTGTCGCTGGGACTGGAACGAAGCAGGTCGGGGAGAACCGGAGCGAAGACATAGGAGACAGAACAGGCTAGCAGTAGAGCAGAGACAAGCAGAGAGAGACAGAGACAAGCAGGGACAAGCAGAGAGAAGCAGAGAGAGACACAGACAGCCGAGACAAGCAGAGAGAGACAGAGAGAAGCAGAGACAAGCAGAGAGAGACAGAGATACAGCGTGAGACAGAGAGGGACAGAGACAGCGGGAGAGAGACAGGAATACAGCGTGAGACAGAGATGGAGAGAGACAGAGACAGTGGGAGAGAGAGAGATACAGCGTGGGACAGGGAGAGACAGAGACAGCGGGAGAGAGACGGAGACACAGCGAGAGACAGAGACAGCGAGCGACGGAGAGAAACAGAGACAGCGAGCGACGAAGAGAGACAGGGACGACGCAGAGGGACGGTGAGGGTTAGGGGAGGAAGCGGAGTGAGCGAGACAGGCGGAGCGCGGCGAGCAAGCTGCGGCTAAGCGGAATGACGGAGTCACAGACGTAATGTGAAGAGTTGTAATAAAAGTGGTGTCGGAGAAAACAAGAAAGTTGTCCGCGTCAAGCCGACCACTACACATACATACGAAGACAAACAAAGATCTACCATATAGCCTAAACGGACTGTTGGGGTAAGTACTCTTTGTGAGCAGGTATGAAGGCCGGCATTGCACACGAGGGGCTCGGTGGTCAGCACCACGCCTGGTCACCTTTGCCTCCCTAATAGCGATCTTCACATATCGCACCTAATTTTCTCATTTGAGGCTGACTCGATCGAGGCGAAGCCCAGGACCAGTTCAAATATTTGCCACTTGTTAATGATCGTGAGCGGGAATCGAACTCGGGTCGTCGGGTTTGTCGTGCGGCGCATTAAACGCTGCGCCACCACTACAACAAAGATAAACAAAGATCCCCCATATAGCCTTAACAGACTGTAGGGGCAAGTGCTGTTAGCGAGCACCTATGAAGGCCGGAACGGTACACGAGGGGGTGGGTGGCCAGCACCACGCCCGACCGCCTTTGTCTCCCTAGTGGCAATGTTTACACACCGCACCAGGTACTCATTTGAGGCTGAGTCGACCTAGGGGAGGCCCGGGACCGGTTCAGATAATCGTCACTGGTGTTGGCCGTGAGCGGGAATCGAACCCGGGTCGCCAGGTTCATAGCGCAGCGCGCTAACCGCTACACTATCGCTCCCCACTACACACACGTGCACACACACATAGATGTATGTATGTATGCACACACATTGCGATAGATTTGAAGCGAACACCATTGATTGGGATCCTTGCATACAAATCCGTTTTTTTAGCCACCTGCAGTATTTTGGTTTTTTTTAAGGGTTTAGCTGTAATGCAGTAGCTACTAATAGGCAACCATTCACGTGCCAATTTATAATAACCGTTCATCAATAAACATGTTTTAAATTACAATTCTTATCAGGCCCCATGGTATAAAGTGCGGTCTTTAACTCATCCATTCCATCTCTCTGACCTTTCTATGCTCGCTATGAAAAGAATGCCCATTGCCTGATACGTCACCAATGATTTATTTTCCCTTTAAGGCCAAGATTTTAATGACGACAGTGAGTTTTTTTTTAATTTGTGCAATTATCCCAGGTTTGTCTTCACTATCATCACCTGGTCTCACCCTCATCGCCTATGACTGCACAAAGACTCTCGCATTAAATTATGTTTTTCAATTAAAATTGGGAATTTTATACTTTGTAGGTTTGAAGATATGAGTTTGATTGGCGTGTAATTACCTGTTCATGGTGAATGAATGAACCGTGTCTAGTGTTGGGTGAAAGAGGCCTTTTGAAGTGACTCCAGAAATAGTGCAGTGACATTATCTGCTGTGGCCACTTCCCAGCATCAGGTGACAGAGCGTTGGCTCTCCTGTAAAGAGTTCTGGATGATAAATGATTAATCTCAGGCAAGACACCAATTGGCATCATCATCAGCCACAATGAATCCGCTGCTGGATGAGGGCCTTCCCAAGCTGTGTCTGTCATGGAAGTTGTTTGACCATACTTCACCACCACGCTGGTCCGAGTAGATTAGTGAAGGAGGGCGGCACTCAGATCGGTTGAATATCACTCGCCACTTATGTTAGCCATGGCCGGGAATCGAATGTGGATGGAATTCATAATCATTATGAAAATAACCTTGTTCATTACCGTATTCTGTGGATTATATTATAAGACACTATCTCCCACTTTCCCGCGATACAACACCGAGGACCACTAGCCCAATTATAATATTGCTGGGAGGTAAAAAAAACCGTGAGAGGTGTTAGGTGAATTATAATCAGAGGCGTCTCGGAGCCTGGCATTACTTTTTGAAGAACTGGTAGGGTGTTTTAGATATTAAAGAATATCCTAGGTATCTGTAGAGTTAATTTCTAGAGGCCCATTAAAAAAACAAATCCATAGCCCATTTAAAATGTTCTGCTGCAGGTAGTACTATGTATATAATAGCCAAAATGGATATGCCACACTGAAGTTTGCTATGTTAAAGTGTGGCTACTCGCACTTTTTCAAAGATGTCAGGCCATCATGGAAGAGTAGGCCAACTAACCTCGAGAGGGGCTCTCTCAGAGCCGCCCCTCGCGGTGGCCCGACCACCATCAGTGGGGTGAGCAAGAGGTTTAGGGCTCCACCTTTACCTTTCCATATGTAATTTTATGTGCGCAGTATCCTTACCATCTTCATGCGCACATTGTCGCGTGGATAGAGGGTTCATATCAAACGGAAGCTCCGTATGTCGCAGAAATTCAAATCTATAGCTTGTGCGGTATCTATCATTTCGTCATTTAGATAATCCCCCTGGAGAGACAGGAGCAAAACAGAAGAGACTCTCCCGCTTTGACACCAAAAAATAAAAATGTTTGTAGGTTGGGCCCACTGAGCTATATAGCTCTTAGACGTTACCTGACCGCAAATGATAGCTCAACGAAATGGCTCATGTAGAAATTAAATAGCAGCCAAATAATCTAAGCGCACGTTGATTCTAAAAGTGGAGGGGAAAAACTGGAGGACCTGGGAAAAAAATCCACACGACCACAGGGAGAGAGACACTCACACTCCAAATACACAGTAACATAGACGACCTATCATGTTTAATGTTTCTGTAGCTAAAGTGTTTGTATTTTTTTCTGCGGAGGTAAATCTGCCCAAGCCAATTTGCGACGCAGGGAATTTAATATTTAGCTTTCATTTGACGTTGATTTGACGTTTCTGCTATATTTTCGATTTCTCGTGTAATGCACTTGTTTTTGTGTGATCTCTATTCACTTAATTGCTATACTTTTTCGATTTAAAGCTTTCGTGACTGCAGGGATTCATATTCTTGGTTCTTTCGGTAAAGTCCCGTAGGAGGGAAATAATAAAAGGATAAAAATAAAACAATAAAATTCTCACGACGTTCCGATTGCAACATAACCAATCGAAAAAAATTCTTGCTGTGGTTTTCACACCTGATGATGATTGCTTGTGTTGCAATCGAAACGTCGTGAGAATTTTATTGTTTTATTTTTATTGTTTTATTATTTCCCTTCGACGTGACTTTACCGAAAGAACCAAGAATATACTTTATATTATTTGTTTATGTTTTGTCATATTGGAAACCCAGCTCACTCGTGCAAATGAGAATCGAAGTTTAAGAACACAACTTGAAGCAAAAGAGATTAATTCAGAACCAGTTCATTTAAACGTGTTGCGTCGCTGCAAGTAGCCTGCGTCACATCAGACCACGTTGAAGACTCTTACAATTTTGAGGTGTAAATTTCCAAAGGCTCCAACAACCGAGCTAAAGAGACTTATCGAAGATCCTAAGAGTAGCAGGAGAAAACATCCAAAGCCCCCTCTGCATGGCTGCCCAGATGTCTGAGATGGATTATACGAATTGTGTGGCGAGGCAGGATAAGGCATGCAGTGGTCCAGAAAAGACCATGGCAGGTGGGTGTTGTAGATATGCTTGGGTAAGCAACAACAACAAAAAGGTTATGCTGGGTAGGACGTGTGTGGGATCGGACGATAGCCGATTGCCAATAACAGGCATTGGAGT